CAAAAATAAAATTTCTATTAAAAATACAATAATCCCAAAAAGTAGATTCCATTACAGTTAGCTGTATGAGAAAGGTATACAATCTTTGCACGGAGTTCTAATAGATTAGCACAATTATGCTCTTTTTTAAGTACTAAAATCATTTTCAATATAAATGTTAATATTAATTATATATTTATCATCAAAAAATGTGATATAGTATATTATTTTTATTTTTACTCTCATGCATAATATTATTTTAAATGCTAAATCTACTTTTTATATAATTATTAAGCTTTGAAAGTTGTAAAAGTAAACTTTTATGTTTAAAATAATTAGAAAATACAAAAGTTCTAATGATTACATGAAAAAATAAACATTTCAACTATTAACAATCAAATGTTAAATTTCTCATATGCTATACTTGGTGGGAAATTTACTACAAAGTATAGCATATAAGAAATTTGGCACAACAAATAGCATTGTATTGGAGAATATTTTTTATACTCAAATATTAAATTTGTAATTAGCACATTAATTATAATATTGCATTAAAAATGCTATAAAAGATTTATGTCTTCACTTTCTTTCCTTTATCTATTAACGTAGGAGGAACAAAATTATATTCATAAGAGAACGATGTAAAACTAAATTGATGAATTAAGCAGAGCACATTCCCTAATATTTGGGTTTATGAAAAGAATACCAATCATTTATGAATTATTTAGTTAAAAATATCTATTGTAATTCATAGAATAGAAAGTAACAGCGGAAAAAAAATTAGAATTAACGCTAGCTAGTTACCCATTAAAGGCTTAAAGGCCTACATAGATGTATTTAGTGTAGCTTCAAATAGAGAATACCACTTTTACAATAAATAAATTAGAGAATACCGGCCCCGTTCATTTCACCGATTTGAGTTTAAAATTCGAGTTTTACTACAATGAAAAACTCTGAGAAATAGTCACATTTAACTTTTTTGTCACAGTAAAAAGTTATCATATAAAATCACATATCAACTCGAATTAAAAACTCAAATCAGCGAACTAAACGGGTCATATGATTTATCCTTGAGTCAACCATATGTATTGTTCAGTCAACCATAAATTACAGTAGTTCTCATTTGGCCTAATTTTGTTAGCATATATATATATATATATATATATATATACTCGTTTACTTTTTTAATTCTCGAACGAGATCTCCATGTTGGCGATGCGCGTATGAGATCTGCACGTCGTGAACGATATGTCCATTGCATTGCCATCCTTGGATAACCTCGACAATGACGAGGAGCTTGAGGCTTTACAGTGACGCGTGATGGTCTTGCTGGGGGTCACTATGTTGGTGGCAACGAGTTGTAGAGAAAAGATGGGGAGAGAAAGAGAAGAGAAAGAGGAACGGGGAAGAAAGAGAGGAGAGAGAAAAGAGATTAATTTGGAAACTGAACTATGGATGAGGATAATATGATCATCATAAAGGGATTTTAGCTTTTCATCGTGATATATTTTACAATAGTTTTACTACTCGTGGCATATGTGGATCCAGGTGCTAAATTTGTGGCATAAGATATTGAAGTATTTATACAAAATGATCACTTTTAAACTCCCTATTTATAACTTGTCTTTAATTTAGTAATATTCTCAATATGTCTATTTTATAGCTATTGAGATAATATCATTCAATATGTACTCTTTTTATGTGGGTGGTTATGATTTTTTTTTCTTTTAATGGAGATCCAACTAAATAATGTCTTTTTCTATCTAAAGAGCAAGTAAAAATAAATGATCATGTGATGTTAGAAAATAACACATAAGATTTATTTAATTAATGTCTAGGAGAAGAAAAAAGACATAAAGATCATAAGATTATGAGGATATTAAGAACATCATTTGGGACCTACAAATTATAAAAATTTTAAGTAAAAAGTATAGAAAACTTAATTTATTGAAATGAAAAGAAAACACGAAAAGATTCCTATACTTATGAACTTAAGAACATTGGGGTGACACATTCAACCTAAATTGAATACACTTTAGTTGATAAAGGAAGTAAAAGAAGGATTAGAAACCTATGTTACAAATCTCATAACTTCTAATTTTGAAATTACAAGTACAAAAGCAACAAAACAAATAAGACTTAGAAAATCTAAATTTAACAAAGGGTAAGACCGTCATTACAAATTACTTTACAAATTTATATGTAAATATCACATTTTTGTGAACATTCGTTTTTTATACCTTACATAATGGACATATATATTAGAGAAAAGGAGGGAAATATCACAACTTTGTGAACATTCGTTTTTTATTCCTTACATAATGGACACACATATATATATATATATATATATATAAAAGAAAAGGAGAGAAATAGACCTAGAGAATAAATATCAATAGCCCAAGGTGTAATAATTGTTAGTAAATAAACCATTTCCGTACATTTAATCAAAATTCCAAGACTACCCCTATTTAAATTAAACATTCAGATGTTACTTTCTCCCTCCTTCTCCCATGCATGTGCTTCACTGTCGCAGTCGCGAGGCCTAACGACGACAACAATTGCCTCAACGAGGAGCATTGTGAGGCCTCCTCTGCTTCCTGATGGCGATCGCTACAACAGATCTCGCGACACCATGATTTGCGACGATCTCACTTGAGATTTTGCGCTATCGCGCTACCAATCTCTTAATTGAGTAGATCTTTGCCGCATGGATGGATTTCCATTGCAGCGAGATCCAAACATAAATCTTCATGACCTCATTAGAGACATCGTTCGCCATTTCTGCGTCGAGAGGCGGAGTAGAACATCATTGTGAAGCCCATAAATCTTCTCGATTGCAATTTTGCCCCTGATTGTGTTGATCTCCATTGCCATCACAATCTTAAACCGCTGCCATGGTTAGACTCCGGTGGAGCAAGCTGTGGGATCGTCGACATTCACATATCTACTACGAATAGCCATTTTCTCCGTTAGATCCTCGTCCCCGTTAGATTCGATGTCGATCCTCAACGGTGACGAAGGAGAGAGAGAGAGAGGACACAGAGAGAGGGGGAGTTAGTGAGAGAACAATGGGTGGTTTGAGAAGAGAAAAAAGTTAGGAAGCAATTATGTGAGGGTAAAACTGGAAAATGAAAATTTTAAAACTAAAAAATGCCTATTAATTTCTATACATTAGCAAATTAATAATTTACTTCTAGAAGTTTAAAATGTTGGTCTATTTACTATAATTTTCTTATATATACGAGTTTTCAATAATTACGTTTTCATCAGTGCTTATTATTAAATACAGTAATTTGATGAATCTAATCTCATTAATTATTATAATTTTTTTAATCAATTTCTAATTTATTACAATCCTCAAATTAATATCTTACAATTAAAATAATAATACTAATAGATAAATATTAAACTAACCATTAAAACTATCCATAATTAACTTTGTAGGTAATAATCCAAAGTAACGACATATGCCCAAAAAGCTCTTTGTCTTTTCTGTATTCGATTTGATGACACGAATTTGGTTACTTAAAAGGGAGAAAGAGAAAAATATGCTAAGACTTGAGATAAATTAAAATTAATAGGCCAATAGTTTACATAAGTTAATAAATAGGTCAAATTACTGTTTTCGTCCATAACTTGTCTGGTTATGAACCGTAACTTGATAAGTTATTGTCCATAATTCACGGTTTTTGTCTATAACTTATCTGGTTATGAACCATAACTTGCTAAGTTTATCCATAACATTTATTGATTATGAATCATAATTTGATAAGTTATGACCTAATAATTTCTATAACTAAAAATTAGCCTATATACTTCTTTAAACTTTTCGTATTGGACTATTTTCTATTATTTCCCTACTTAAAATGGGCTGTCGACCCGTCCCTACCAGCAAGTTTAACTTGGGCTTTCCGACTGTAAACCCAAAAGAGAGAAATAAGCTAAGACTTGAGATGAATTAAAATTAATATGCCAATAGTTTATATAAGTTAATAAATAGGTAAAATTACTGTTTTCGTCCATAACTTGTCTGGTTATGAACCGTAACTTGATAAGTTATTGTCCATAATTCACGGTTTTTGTCTATAACTTATCTAGTTATGAACCAAAACTTGCTAAGTTTATCCTTAACTTTTTTTATTATGAATCATAACTTAACAAGTTATGACTTATTAATTTCTATAACTAAAAATTGACCTATATACTTCTTTAAACTTTTCATATTGGACTATTTTTTATTATTTAAAATGGGCTGTCAGCCCGTCCCTACCAGCAAGTTCAACTTGGGCTTTCCGACTACTTAAAATGGGCTGTCGGCCCGTCCCTACCAACAAGTTCAACTTGGGCTTTCCGACTGTAAACCCAAAACTGTGAATCAGGCCGACCAGTAGGTAAGCCCATTAATAAGAGCAATAAAGTGCAGAAGAAATAGATGCCGACCAATCCAAGCATCCAACACGAAAAGTCCAAATCCAGCGGTCAATAACATGTTTTTATGTAAAAACCGGTACGCGTCAATCGTCATATGAATCCAAACGGGCGTCAGCGGATTGGAAAAACATTGGACGAATCGTAAAAACCAAGCAAACAACACAAGCATCCAACACATGTTTTGTTCTAAAAAGAAAAAAAAAACCAAATATTTTTTCAATCCAAAATTTCGTTTATTTCATTGATTTAAATTTAAAATTTAAATTTTGTTATAATAAAAAACTATCAAAAATAATCATAATTAATTTTTTTATTATAATAAAAAATTTTTACGTAATGTCATATTTTAATTCGAATTAAAAATTTAAATCCACGAACTAAACAGTTTCAATTTACATACAATTGAAGAAATGTTTGGTTTTCGTAAATCCGTACGAAACCAACAAGGACCATGCTTTTCATGTTTTTTTTTTCAAACCTTTAATTAATAATAATTATTCTACTAAAAAAATAATCATAATTATTCTACTAAAAAAATAATAATTATTATCATTTATTAAATAAATAAAAAAACAAAAGGCTCAGAAGTTTTTTGGGGTGGGAAATGGTGGCGCAAAAAATTATTGAAAAAAAAAAAAAGAGAGAGAAAAAAGAATATGCCATTGCCGTAATGCTTTGTTCCTCTCACACATCCTCAGATGCTAATGTTCCTCTTCATCTGAGAGAACCTTAAAACTCTCTCTCTCTCAGGTATCTTAATCTTAATCTTATCCTTCTTCTTCTTATTCTCTTTTTGATTTCTGAAATTCCATTTCTTTGTTCTTTTTTTTTTTTTTGGTTGCTTCCTTAGAGTTTTTTTTTCTGAAGCATTCTGGTTCTTGGCGTTCGATTGATTGGGCGCTTCGAAGGTCGGTTTCTGATTCTGGTTCGTTTCTTTTTCTTTTTCTTTCTTTTTTGGGACTAACGAGCTTTTTCGCTTTTCGGCGGCTTTCTTCTGCTTTTGAGCTTTTTCTTTTCTTTTTTTTTTTTTTTTTTCCTTTTTCGAATTTTAGAAGTAAGTCCTAGGCTTAGCGCTTCAATTTGCTCGCTCAGAAGTTTTGTTTTGGTGTTCTTTCGTTTTCTTTCTTCTCTGAATTGAATTTCGTTGGAGTTTATATTGGTGAATTTCAGGTTTGTTCGTTCATTTGTTTATTTATTTGTTTGCTTAATTTTTTGTTTTTGGGCTAGAATAGTACCAAAAGAAATTGATGAAGACTCAAGTTTGATGTCTTTTTCCTTTGTACTCTTCACGGTTGTACGGAAGGCTATATAAATATTACGGAAATGTAAAACTCACTTTTTTTTTTGTGATGACTTTGGATTTCTTTGGTGGGTTTCTGTTTCGTTTTGTGTTTCTTTTAGCTCTTTGAAATAGTTGTGCAATGGTCGTCGACTGTTTAGTTTAGTTAAATCAATGTCGAAAGTGTTTTGGATTGGATTCTCGGAAAAAAAAAGTGCTTTTGGATTGGCTATAGTTGGTTTGAATTTGTTGAACAACTTCTTATAGAGGTTAAGGATCTTATATTAATTAATGACAATGTGGGGTCTGATTAATTCTTTTCAACTGAAATATGGTGTTGTTATTTTATTATATTTTATTTTTCAATAGGAATATGGTTTTATTGGTTGATAGAAATGTAAGAGCAAAAGTAAAAACCGAATACTTTTGATGAGCTCATAATGTGCAAAAGAAATCTGGGTCAGATTTGATGAATTCTTCATAGAGGAGGACTCTTCAGTTTTACTTGCTTAATTGCTTTGAAATGCACATATTCTAAAATGCAATACTCTGAATGCACATATTCTAAAATGCAATACTCTTATAGGTATCGTCAAGGGAGATAGTATTATTCAGTAATTAGTATCATGATTTTGTATTAAATTCTTAACACGTTTATATTTGTTCTCAGGTTTTCGGAATTGGTTGTGGTGCTGGTTGTGTTGCATCTGTTGGTTTATCTGCAAAAACCTGAATCTGGGCAAGGAGATTGGATGAATGTTAGGTTACGAGTGGAAGGTTATTGATGGGATCTAATAAGCAGTCTGTTGGTTTTCTGGATTCCCTCAGAATGGAGAGGGTTAGAACGATTTTAACTCATACATATCCTTACCCCCATGAGCACTCGCGTCATGCTATAATTGCAGTTGTTGTGGGTTGTCTATTTTTCATCTCGTCGGACAACATTCAAACCCTTGTAGAAAAGTTGGACAATAACATTAAATGGTGGTCCATGTATGCCTGTCTTCTTGGTTTCTTCTATTTTTTTTCATCCCCATTTATAGGGAAGACTATCAAGCCGAGTTATTCAAATTTTAGTCGATGGTAAGCATTTTTTCACCGAATCCTATTTAGTTGCTCCTATACTTGATTCTCACAAACACAACGCATGCACGTGTGTAGATTCTTAGGTAGATACAGATGTGTGCTGTGCATAGTGTTGGGAACTAGATATGCTTGATACATGTTTGTAACTTTGAGTAATTTATGCAGGTATATTGCTTGGATTTTAATAGCAGCCCTATACCATCTTCCTAGTTTTCAGTCAATGGGGGTGGACATGAGAATGAATCTGTCTTTGTTTCTGACTATATACGTCTCTTCTATTATATTTCTCCTTGTCTTCCACATCATATTTCTTGGGCTTTGGTACATTGGTCTTGTTTCACGTGTTGCTGGAAGGAGGCCAGAGATCTTGACTATTTTTCAAAACTGTGCTGTAAGGAACAATACACGCTCTCTAGAAAAAAGGAACTAGCATTTTTTTTTTTTTTTTACCTTTCATTCTGTTAATTCTGATTGTTTTCTTCATTCCTTTAATTTATGTAGGTCCTTAGTATAGCGTGCTGTGTATTTTATAGTCATTGTGGCAACCGTGCTATTTTGAGAGAGAGACCACTTGACCGCAGAAATTCTCATTGGTTTTCTTTCTGGAAGAAAGAAGAGAGGAACACTTGGCTTGCAAAATTTATCCGCATGAGTGAATTGAAAGACCAGGTCTGCTCTTCTTGGTTTGCTCCAGTTGGGTCTGCAAGTGATTATCCGCTTTTGTCCAAGTGGGTTATTTACGGCGAGGTACTAATACTCATAAGCTGGTATCATGATCCCTTATTTTTTACTGTAGAGTCCTGATCTTTATTTGATTCATATTATTTATTTTACTGTCTCAGTTAGCGTGCAATGGCTCATGTACGGGTTCATCAGATGAAATCTCTCCTATATACTCATTGTGGGCAACATTTATTGGCCTTTACATTGCAAATTATGTAGTGGAAAGGTCAACAGGGTAAGTGGTATTTCGTAGCTTGGGCTTTTAGTGTATGTTTGTTATTGTCTTGACACGGAATGTGCAATATGTATACGTTTTTCATTTTGTTTTCATAACTTACTATTTTATCTGACTTCTGCTTTATTTTTATGTGATAATCAAAAGGTGGGCTCTTACTCACCCTTTGTCAGTTCAAGAATATGAGAAGTTGAAGAAGAAGCAAATGAAGCCAGATTTTTTGGATATGGTTCCTTGGTATTCAGGGTATATTTTATCTTTTGTTTGTACCTATTCTTCTATCTCTTTTCTTTTGTTTTAAGTGGTAATCATTATACCTTAGTTGATTGTTTGCTTGGCTATATCTTGCAGAACATCAGCTGATTTGTTCAAGACGGTGTTTGACCTCCTTGTGTCAGTGACTGTCTTTGTTGGCCGTTTTGACATGAGAATGATGCAAGTATGTTTTTTTATTTTATTTTATTTTATTTTTTTGTCATTTGCTTTATTAAATTTTCATTCAAATTATTATGTTTAGGAACTTCCATTATTTTTTTTTGCCAGGTGTAGAAACTACTACATTTAAATATATGAATAGAAAATTGCTAACACATACCTGTGGGGCAAATAATCACACAAGTGTGATGCTTTAAGTTCTTTCTCCAGGCTTTGAGATGCCAAAAAAGTGAGGGTCTACACATTTTTCTTTTTTGAAAAGCAACAAAACCTCACTATAAATATCATGAAGTACAAAGAACTCCAAAGAGGAGGACAGGGAGTCCACCAACAAAACAAAGCAACTTTTATCTGGCTTCAGGCTATTATCTAATAGATATTTTATATCTTCCTTTTGTCCCATCATTAGGCAGCAATGAGCAAGGTTCATGGTGGAGCTGAACAAGGGGATCTTCTATACAGTCAATTTAATGAGAAGGACGATCTATGGTTTGACTTCATGGCCGATACTGGTGATGGTGGGAACTCATCCTATACAGTAGCCCGACTGCTTGCTCAGCCTTCCATTAATCTCAACAGAGGTGATTCTATGCTTAATCTACCACGTGGAGACTTACTTCTTATTGGAGGGGATCTTGCGTAAGTTGACAGTTGCTGTCTGTAATTAATAATGTCACTATCAGATTATTTGTTACATATCTAAGCATAGATGCAATTTACGAATTGAGACTGTCATGTTTTCATGGTTAGGGTTGGAACTAGTTGTGTCATAAATAGCTTATCAGTACTTAACAGACTGTGATAGTATTAGTAATCAATTATCGATTGCCATTAAGGTAAATAGTTTGCTCCAAATATGGTTTAATTTGATTTTAGTGAATCTAGTTGATATCATGGGCTTCCATTAATAGCATCCTCAAGGCTTGTGAAGAATAACATATACTTGTATAGTTGTATTAAAGGCTAGTGACCTATAAGGATGTTCTTTTAGAAGATATATTTGGCATCCATCTCACAATATTGTCAGCTTTGCCATATTTTAGATCGGTTTTCCCAGTTGTTAGCTTCTCCATTTGTGTTCTGGGAACTTATGACGTAACTATTTGGGAAAAGTCTCCTATTATTCCTTGATGGAATTTGTTTAGATGGCCTGTCAACCTTTCAGTTTGAAGTTTCCCTTTATGCTTTATGTCTCTTGGTTCAATCTAAGTTCTCTTGGCTTTGAATATTTGTTTTTAGTTTTCTGGTATTGTTGCTTTACAGAAATTCACTCTTTAACCTAACTAATATCATTTATTATTGAGAGCTTGACGAGAATTAATGTGCAGTTTATATTTAATAGCTATCAGAGATGTTTAACAAACTTTAACACATATATTCTTTCTAATGTCTTGTTGTATGTATATACATTGTTTTGCTTCCTGGTTCTCGTATAGGTATCCTAATCCATCAGCATTCACATATGAAAGGCGTCTCTTTTGTCCTTTTGAGTATGCTCTCCAACCACCTTCATGGTATAAAGAAGAACACATAGCTGTAAATAAGCCCGAGGTGCCTTCAGGCGTGTCTGAACTGAAGCAATATAATGGGCCTCAGTGTTTTGTTATCCCTGGAAACCATGGTTGGTCTTGGTTCTCAGACCCTTTCTGTTAATTTTCCTGTTTCTTTTTTATTCTCCGTAACAGGACAGAAATTTCTTTGATCGTTACTTATGCAGTATAATTCTTTAAATGCATGACAGATTGGTTTGATGGACTTCATACGTTTATGAGGTATATTTGTCATAAAAGCTGGTTGGGTGGGTGGTTTATGCCTCAGAAGAAGAGTTACTTCGCTTTGCAGCTTCCAAAAAGATGGTGGGTGTTTGGTCTTGATTTGGCCCTCCATGGTGATATTGATGTGTACCAATTCAAGTTCTTTTCAGAGCTAGTAAAAGAAAAGGTAATTGTCTTTGGTTCTCTCTCTCTCTCTCTTCCTTTTTTTTATTTTTTTATTTTTGGTTTAGTTTTTTTGCATGTTTGATTTAGTGGGGTATCCGACTTTTTGAGAGTTTTTCTAGGCTAGGGACTTTAGACATGGACTGTAATTGTCTAGCGTTCATGCCATAGTAGCACTAATGGTATGTCTATGCGCTCTGGTTTCATACGATCAATTAATATGCTGCTAGAGTTGAGAGGAGAAATTATTCATCTTACAAAACTTCTCCCTCTCTTTTTCCCCACTTTAAATACTTCTCTTGTTATCATCCCGGGTAGTTGTTTGAGACGATGTTGTGGGTAGAATTCACATTAGGCATAATGTGACAAACTTACAGTACATCATCTTTGTCTTCCTTTATGTTGAAAACTAGGGATGACTTAAAACTTAGTTGCAGTAGTGTTCTCATGACGTAGAACGAGCCATGAGGTTTCAGAGATATGATGGTACATTTGTTGCATATATGTAAGCCTACATAACATTCGTTCTAAGGCTATTAGTGATGCACCTAAGCTTTGCCTCTTCTTTTTTGTTAATTTCTTTTAAATGTAGCATTATTAAGATTTCAAACATTTTACTAATTGGCTTTGGCATTCTCATCTCACCATTTGTAATCAAGGTTGGAGATGATGACTGTGTGATCATTATGACACATGAACCCAATTGGCTTCTTGATTGGTACTGGAATGATGTTTCTGGAAAGAATGTCTCGCACCTGATTTGTGATTATTTGAAAGGAAGGTGTAAACTCCGAATTGCCGGGGACTTGCATCATTATATGCGCCATTCATTCGTTAAATCTGATGGGCCAGTCCATGTGCAACATTTACTTGTAAATGGTTGTGGTGGGGCTTTTTTACATCCCACTCATGTCTTTGGTAATTTTAACAAGTTATATGGAACATCCTTTGACTGCAAGGCTGCTTATCCTTCTTTCGAAGACTCAAGCAGGGTAATTTTTTTTTATGTCGACGCTTGTGATTTTGCTTCCTAATAAAAATCCGGTATACATGATATTATAATTTCTTCTTTTCATCCCCTGCAGATTGCACTAGGCAATATTTTGAAGTTTCGAAAGAAGAACTGGCAATTTGATTTTATTGGTGGCATCATATACTTTGTCCTGACCTTTTCTATGTTTCCACAGGTTAGTTCATTATCCACCCTGTTATTTTTCGCACTAGCAATTGTTACTGGTGAACTCAGGGATTTTATATCTTATTGTTTATTGTACTTTTCTAAATTTTGTCCCCTCGAATTGTTCTTACTTTCTGAATTTTGTTGGCTTGCCCTTTTGCTCTCTTTTAATTAGCTGCTGTTATATTTTTTTCCTAAACTCTCTCCTAAGAATTGGAACAGCTTGTGCCACAAAGTTTCTGGTTCATTGCTCTTTTACTTTGATTTAGCAAATGCTCCCTCCACAGCCAAGAATTTTATTCATGTGTTACAGAAGGGTGATCTGCTTTTTCCCTTTTGCAGTGTAAGCTTGGCCATATCTTGCGGGATGATTCATTTTCTGGTCGGTTGGGGAGTTTCTTTGGCACGGTGTGGAATAGTTTTATATGCATGCTGGAACACTCTTATGTATCTCTAGCAGGTGCTCTGATATTGCTAATTGCGGCAATTGCATTTGTTCCCTCCAAAGTCTCACGAAAGAAAAGGGCCATAATTGGTGTCATTCATGTCTCTGCTCACCTGGCCGCAGCTCTAGTTCTTATGTTGCTGTTGGAACTGGGCGTTGAGACATGTATCAGGCACAAACTACTAGCAACTTCAGGTGAGTTTTTCTACTGCTATGATTCACTTTTCTCGTCTGTGTTTGTGATCTCGGATTTTGTGATGACCAAAAGTCTTTAGCATCTCTTTTTTCTAATGAGCCAACGAACTTCTTATCCTGTAGATAAATTCAAAACTATACAATGGTCTGAGCTACATAAGTTCACTGAATCACTCCTAATATGGACTGCATTAAATTGGTTATGATCTCTTGTTTGTATTACAGAATGAGATCTTCGTTTTGCATGACTGTTGTTATGAAAGGCACAAATTTTTAATGTTATTGTAGCTTTTACATGAGGGATGTTTGTGAAAGTGTTACTGATTAAAGTTATTGGTTCACGAGTTCAATTATTTTGGATTTTAACTATATCTTTGTCCCCTTTAATTCTAGGCTATCACACTTTGTACCAGTGGTACCGATCTGTGGAGAGTGAGCACTTTCCAGATCCAACCGGCCTCCGAGCTCGCATAGAACAGTGGACTTTTGGTCTTTATCCAGCATGTATCAAGTATCTTATGTCTGCATTTGATGTTCCTGAGGTAAGAAAACCTGTTTATGGTTGTTCTTTTGCTTTGTTATTTTCATTCGGTTATAACAATAATAGAATTTATTGATCAGGTAATGGCTGTCACAAGGAGCAACATTTGTAAGGCAGGGATGGAATCACTCTCTAGAGGGGGCGCCGCGATATACTATGCCTCTGTCTTTCTGTATTTCTGGGTCTTTTCTACCCCAGTGGTGTCCTTGGTATTTGGAAGCTACTTGTACATCTGCATTAACTGGCTTCACATACACTTTGATGAAGCCTTCTCCTCACTCCGAATTGCAAATTACAAGGCGTTCACTCGATTCCATATAACTACAGATGGCGATCTTGAGGTCTTTACCCTCGCAGTTGATAAGGTGAGAACTCAGTAGTCTCTTTTCCGAGGGCAATTAAAAGACACCAACGAATGCAGAAGTTGTTTCTTCCATAATTTAAATTAACTTCAGTCTTATCTTTTTGTAGTTTCTCAAATTGAGGTCTTGTTTCTTAGCATAGTACTTTCTGTACCTTACATCAATATCAGTGTCATATCTCTGTCACTTTCTTTGGGTGACGAGAAGGCATCTCAAAACCTAGTTTTTAACTAATTGGTTCAACTGCTAAGCTTGGTTTATTCACAGATGATAGACGCGGTAGGGATCATCTGAGTAGTTGTATCCCTACCACATAGTTGTAGGTGTACTTGGCATTTACCTTTTATCCTTACCCTAATGCCAAGTTTCTGTTCAGTTCGCAAGTCTCTGGTTTGCTCCCACATGTTTTGGAGTTCAATTCCTCTGGGCTGCCTTTCCCATGAATAATCACGAGACTCCATATGCTTTCGAAAATTGCAACCTCCGGCCACAGTCGTCTTTAAACTCAATCCTTTAAGTGAATTCAAAGCATTTCTGGGATTATAGGGAGAACAAAGAATAAAGGGGGAAAAAAAAATCTTATATCCTTACCTACTTCTTGTTACATTTCGTCTTTGACATGCAGGTTCCGAAGGAATGGAAGCTGGACCCCGACTGGGATGGAGAGCCAAAACAGCCGCAGCAGCTGAACCACAACAGAAAGTATCCCAGTAAATGGAGTGCAGCTTCTCCTCAGCAGGATCCTATACACACTGTTAAGATTGTTGACCATTTTGTCATTAAACAAACAGATGAATTTGACACTGGAGCAAGTAATGGTCCAGTTAGCTCGCTGACCTAGCTTGCTTCTCAAATTTGTAGCATTAGTTTAGCTTTCTTGATTTAGATAGCAATGAAAAAGGGGAATTGAAAAAAAAAAAGAGTATCAATCAGTACGATTCTACAGTTCTTAGCTATTTGTCTGCAGGTTTGAGTGCAAATGACCCATCGGGTGGTCCCATGTGGACCCAGGTGTTCATTTTGATTGATTAATCAGTGATCTAATTTAAGTTCCATCTTAGTAATCAATGAGGAGATTCGGTTTAAATGAGATTTTATACGTGGGATTTAATGGTACATCGTCGAATATTAATTGATGCAGTGTTGTTTTTAACCTTTACTAGGGTCAGGTATTATCATGTAGAACTTTTTAACAAGCTGCGTCATTTCTTACAAGTAAAGCAGAAAAGAAATAGTAAAGTTATTCACGATGGTTGGTGAGAATTTAGTTTACCACGTTAGTTGAATCCAATCAATACTTTCGTGTGATAAAAGAATTTAGTTTACCCCGTTAGTTGAATCCAATCAATACTTTCGTGTGATTAAAACCGGATTTTTTTTTTCCCCTATTTATCGTAATCAAGTAAAGAAATGAAAGTCCTCAAAATTTGTCATGGTAAGATCAAAGTCGAGCTTCTCCATATTGTCATTGTTGGTTTTAAGCATATCACCTATTTACATTTCAATTCTAAGTAGTTAATGATACTGGGAAAACGATATGGGATATTTTCTCTCTAATTTGCTCCCCTAAAACTTTGTTTTCCTTTTAACTATGCTCTTTATTTTAAAACATTTTTTTTTCAAGCATTCTTTTTATAGTATTATTCAAGAATTTATATTTCCCTTTCAAATGAAATTCTTTCCAACGCTCTACATGATAAATTGATTTCCATAGACACTCCCTGAAGCCAATTTCACTAGGAAGGTTAAAGGCATCAATAAAGAAACTAGCTAGAATTTTGAGGAAAAAAAAAAGGAATAAAATTTGGGGCAAAATTTGACGGTGAAGTTTGCTATAACCTATATACATCTTTTGAGACAAAACTAATAGTCTCTGATTAATAGAGGTAACTCCCAAATGATGTCCCATTAAGTGCTTTCTGAACATCATCCCAGTTCTCCACTTGTTTGGACAGAGGGGCTGTGTGTATCTTAATTTGGCGGCTCTCAAGCTCTCTGTATGGTAACTTTAGGAATTCTTGAACGTCCTTGAGTTTCTGCAAGTAAATTTATTTATTTATTTTCAATAAACAAAAATTTATTAAAAAAGTAAAATGCAAAAGATCTTACAATCCTAAAGCATAAAAGTACCAAAACTTGAAAGTAAAACAGCCAAAAGACAAAAGACAAACGAAACGAGAAACAAGCAAGTAAAGAGAAATCATTAAGATTTTCTCAATAAGCCCTATAACTGGTAAGAAGAGTTTTTCTTAACAAGCTCCTTGTTCAATTTTCTTCTTGAGATAATAATAATAATAATAATAATAATAATAATAATATAGTTTCAAAAAAGATTATACCTTATTGATTTTGGTCAGCAAATAAATTAATCAAAAATTTGTGAATAGTAAATTAGTAGATAAATGATAATGGCAAGAATATTACGGTGCGATTGTTGACGACATCTTCGTAATAAAGAACAATGTGACGAGTGCTCTTGAAGTATTCTATTGCCCTGGTCATTGTTTCGTTTGCTTTGTTAAGTTCGTCCATCATTAATGTGACATTAATCTTTGGCTTGTATTCTGCCAGTATTTGAGCCTGCAAAAAAAAAAAAAAAAAAAAAAAAATCAATGGAAAATGAGAACATGCAATGCGTGATGGTACTATAAATTGTGTGTATTTATGTAAATTATAATTACTAAATACATATGAAGATTAGATAGAATGGGGGAAAAAAAAAGGACCTCCAAAGGGGAATGCACGTGAGACTTGTGGGTTCCATTTAGTAGTTTGGCATCTTTGTCATAAGAATTTGCAAGTACAGAAATCATTCTGCGGAGTAAATTCCTTCTGAAAAGGAATATGGCTGACACTCCTTTCTTCTTGAAGTACTCAACAATCTCTTTGTGATGCTGTATCAGACCCTGTGGCATACACATGCACAAATATAAACAGCCACATAATATAGAACAACGCTATAGAGTACCGGTATAAAGAGTGGATCCCGCAGTATGAGATTTATAAATGAGGCCCACGTTGTATTCCTTTTTATATGAGACTTTTGAAACAACAAAAATATTACTTAAATCACCAACTTAACAGCCTTGATGAGTGAATGGGTCAAGTTCCATACTGCAATATTCGCTTTCTTAAAGCTGATATTGTTTAACGTAGCAAGAAAAATATATGCTGTGCAAAAAGCGATAAAAAAAGCCTCCAACTGATCTTGAGATATTATCCATGATCAGGACAAAGAGTCAAAAAGCATCAAAGTTTGCAAAGAAAAAAATAATAATAAAGTGGTTGGCAAGTTCAATCAAAGCAACAAATAATTCCTTTTTTTTCAATTGTGCTATTTGGGTACAAGCTGTCAAAGACTCCAAGTTGCTCACTTCCAATTCGTAACTACATTATTATTGGCATCTTGGTCCAACGTAACATCGTAAGAATGCTACTAAATGAAGTCTTTTTTTATGAACTTTTAATTATTTTCTATGAATTTTATGAACTTTCAATAATTTTTCCACATTCATAGATTTGATACCCAAATATGAAGAATTATAGGGGTGGCCTAATTTAGTAACAAAAATAGGTGACCATTAGTATCACATTTCATCTTTCAATTCTTGAGTCAAAATCCACATGTAGCTAAGCACAACTCACCTCCTTCAAAGAACTTGTTAATTACGATTGCTATGTGTACACATTCTTATTTCGAATTTTGAAGCAAAACTTTCCATGCGTTAAAAGACTATAAGCTCAATTACCTGATTTAGCATCCATTTGAATCCGACGGCGGCGGAACACTCATTCTTGGAAGCACTGGTGAACCAGTCAAGGTTATAAACTTTGTCCATTGTCTTGACAATTGAAGAGATGTTCATCCTCCTCTCTCTAACAGAAAAGATCTCCCCATTTGAGCTAACATTGATATGGCTGTTCAACAAAGTCTCAAACCATCCACTTCCTGATCTCTGCATTGACAATATCGCAAAGTACCTAACCGGATTGCACCCACATTCTTCCCTGCAAAAAATGAACGTACCGCAAAGAATATATATAATCTTTTGTAATGCTCTCAAATTGAACCCCAAGAAAACTATATATATATATATATGTATATGTATGTATGTATATGTATAGTACTAACTAGTCATACCTTGTGAATGTTCCGGGTTGTGGGTAGTGCAAAGATTGATCTAGAACAATATCATTATTATGAGCAGAAGATGGACAAGAGTTTTGATGGTCATTATTAACCACTTTGATGTTGAGGAATTTGGCCTTTGTGTTTTGGCTCATCTGCTTCAAACATATTGAGCATATGTAGACCCCACAAACCATGGCAAAGAATAGAACCACCATCCTCAATGTGAGTGGAGATTTCTTTGGAGTCTTAATGACCAGTGTGTTCTGAAAAACAAATTACGAGTGTTGGTTTAAAAACAATCATATTCTTAATTATTTGTATTGTTTTTTTTTTTTTTTTTTCAATGAAGAAGAACTTCATGTCAGTGAGATTGCGAGGAAAAGAAAAACAGAAGAAACAGAAAGTTGAAAAGCTGAGAAAATGTAGAAAAAGAGTTAAAAAAAAAAAAAAAAAGTTGTTGGAACACAAATGACAGAAAGAAAGGAGCGTACTGTGGCTGGTTCCATCTAAAAACCTCCATCAAAGGAAAAAGGAGGAGGAAGAAGAAGAGAAAAAGGATAAACGGACCAATCTTAAAGTGGGTGTCCCGTTTGTTGTGTACTTGGCTATTCGACACCAAGAGTTGAGATCTGGCGTTCCTATTTTCCTGTCTCGTTATCCCTTCATTATTTATTTGACACGTCATTTAAGTTTAACGACTTAACCATATGACTTAAATACTAAAATTACTTAAAGAACTAAATGAGGTGTTAATATTTAATTGGAGAGCTAGTATAGAAAAATAGGACATTAGATCAAATAAAAGGAGAAATATATGGCTACAGAAGTGGTCAGACAATTGGGCTTTATTGAAAAAATCAGATCATCAAAGTAGTACAAATACAAGAACGGAAATTGTCATTACGCCTCCATATATAAGTAAAATAATAATAATAAATAATATAAACAGAAGGTTGAAAAGTTGATAACATTTGGAAAAATAAAGAAAAAAAAACTGTTGGAACACAAATTACAGAGATAGAGAGGAGTATTCTGTGGCTAGCTCCATCCAAAAACCTCCATCAAAGGAAAAAGGAGGAGGAAGAAGAGGAGAAGAAAAATATTAAAGGACCAAATTGAAAAGTGAGCGTCACGTCTGTTGTGTCTTTGGCTATGTCACAGTCCATGTAAACTGAGAAACATATGGCGAGAGAAGTGGTGGACAAGTGGGCTTTATTGACAAAAATCAGATTATTGACCATGTCGTGTAATACTAGTTAGTATTAGGCCTCCATATATCAGTAAAATAAATAAATAAACTCACCATAAGAAACGAAAAAATGAACTTAATTTGCGTCAAGACATGTTTTTAGCTGCTCAATATCGATTACCAAAAACCTCAGGAGTGAAAACTAAATTAAGTTGTGAAAAAAAAAAGGAAATAATGAAAATTTGAAAAGACTAGGAACTAATTTGTTTAGACTTGAATGATAAAGGCAAAGATAGTCACATTTGTATAGAGAGGGAAAGCTAATAAGAAAAACCATGGTATAGTTAGCTGATGATAAGCATGTACCTTGTTCAAGAAACAGATTTCTTCGGTCATCCTGTGAGTAAAGAGAATCATGCAAAAACGATAAGTGGGACTGCGTTTTCTTCAACTCTCTCTCTCTCTCTCTCTCTAGGAAGGAAAAGGAGGAGAGAAGGAATGAGAGCTTCTGGTTTTGAGCTTTTCCTCGTGAAAAACGACGCTATATTCAAACCACCCCGCTCGCTTTCATAAGAATAAGATTTTCCATGTATAAGCTTGTTACGCATTAAAAAGCCTTTTTTTATGAAACATTAAAAAGTATTTGTAATTTCTCTCTCTTGCACTTTTTTCTTCTTATATTTTCTGTGCGTTTATCAAAAGTAACACTTTACCCAATTTTTCGAATCACGTTTTTTAGGACAGGAAAACCAATTAGCACAGAAGTTGAGAAAGAAAGAAAAAAGAAGACCTCCGTGTTCTAAGTACACACGCATTTATAAACAAACCATTTTTGAAAAATAAATAAAAAGAAAGAAGAGAAGATTAAGAGGAGAAACTACGTTGGTTTTACTTTGTTTGTGTTAATTAAACACAGTTTTCTATATGAGCAGCAACGTAATCAACCATTTAATAGGGCGCAGTCAGTCTCTCAAATCAACATGCATTAATTTTTTGCATTTTCCGAAGCAAAATTATATATTTTTACGTTCTTAATTAGTCACATGCCAGTAGTTTTAAATCTGTTAGATAGACTTTGCATTGATTTTTGTGAAACTTAATCTTCGTTTATTGGATCTGATCTAATCTATCCAGCTAAGAAAATGAAGTTTTAAAATAAATAAATAAGAAAATCTTCATTGGAATAGTACTTTGCAAAGTCATATTGTTGAATGTTGCTAATTAATTAGCGCCAAGTTAATAAGGTGAACAAGGGCGACCCCAAACGCGGAGAAATTCTGGTTGGGGGACCTAGAAAAGTAGCAAACAAAAAAAGGGTTTGAATTAAATTTTTTTTTTTTTTTTTTTTTTTTTTTTTTTTTTTTTTGGTGTTAAAAAGAAGCATGGGAAAAGATGAATACTGTTGGCTGTAACGAACAACGAATCCCACTTTGTAATAAGAAACGCGGCAACGTGCATTCCACTTTTGTTTGTCCCTCACCCTTCCTACCCACAAGTAGTGCCATGCATTGATTTTTCTTTCTAGGTAATTACCTCCTTTTTTTGTTTTTTAATCTCATGATCAAATTGAAAGTTACTTGTTTTTCCTTATTAATCTATACCGCATCGCCTACTTTCTTTGACTGGCAATTCTCCTCTCTCGAATTATAAATGACCACAGGAAGATACTTATATATATGTGGGGAAATTTTTGAAAATAAAGTAATATCTTATTCTACTAATAATCTTATGTTATCTTTTTATAAGATAATATGTAGATTATTTTTCATAATGATATTAAAATGTTATGTAGTGGTATAAATAATAAAGTTGAAAAAAATAATAATTAAACATGAAATTTTCTCCATATTAAATATATAGGAATATTTATATATATATATATATATGTATGGTGCTTGTTTCATGAACCTTTTAACATTCTCAAAGTTGTCCTCTAAACTTATATTTCAACAAATGACACTCTTAGTTTAATTAGTTTTGCATAATGCTTCCAAATTAGAGACAGATATTTAACATTTGAACAAAAACGCATACGTACAAGTCCCATGAGCTCGATTAAAAGCATATGCTGCAATTTAAAATGACGATAAAACACATTATGTCATATGCGTCTTCTTCCAAAATTTTAATATCCTTCAAGAATTTAACGGTACCATGTAATATTTTATTAAATGCAGGAGAAAAATTTACCAATTCACCAATGTCCCAAGAGGCAAAAACACCAAAAATCGTTTTTTGCCTCCACAAAAATTGCTTGCAATAATTTTAGGCACTAAGTAGTTGGCGTCTACGTTAAAAGTGAGAGATTTATTTCCCTCCCGTTTTCAGATGATAAAATCATTCACATGAGAAGGTAGATAAAATAGAATATAATATAGTTTTAAAAAAAAATCAACTATGAAGTATGAACCAAAATGAATGGACCGGTGTATAACTTAAAATTATATTATTCCAGTTAATCTAGATTTTGCTTAGAATGAGACTCCCAAGCACCCCTTCAACACACTAAACTAGAATTCTAACTCTAAGCTCTGATCCACTTGATTTTCATTCAAGTCATTGCTGAGCAAACAGTTTCAGTTCACACAGTTTTTGTCAACAAAACATCCAACAAGACATTAAATAAACTACAAAATCCGAGATACTAATTTAATGAAAGTGCACAAGGCATCGAGTCTATACAAAGAGAGTCAAAGGCAGAGACATGTGCCACTTATATGGCTCAAAAAAAAAAAAAAAAAGTGCCACTTCCCGCATTCAGTGCAGCTTTTCTGTCAAAATTAACTTCACAAATAAATAACCCTGTTTAATATCCCACAGTAGCGGCAATGATGTTACTTGTACTTCAAGTCATATAGTAGAATAGCATAGTGATATACTGATCTTTAAGTATTTGGTAAATGGACGACTTTAGTGGTCAAAATTTAGTCCCCAACAGAATGGTTCTACCTGGTAGACAAGAAGAGAAAACAAAGATTAGGACAGAAATGTTGCTTGGTTGGTCGTAGGATGATGCTAACAGTAACAGACATAGGTTGGCAAAAAAAAAATAAAAATAAAAATACAATACAAATAAAGGAAAGAACACACCTCAATATTTTGATTTGGTTTGTATACAAACATGGGTGACGTGTCTGCTATTACCCCACTCGGTAAGATTTACGAGTGTTTAATCTTTTCAAAAAATTTATACCCCCTTAAACACCACTATTAAAATCCAATAGAGAATTGGATGTTATATGTGCCTGTGCACATTAAATATCATGGCTAGTGGCTACTTGAAAATTTTTGACAATATAGAATGAGGGACGAAATGACAAGATAGAAAGATAGAAAGAATGACAGAAAAATCCACATTAATCCAGAATTCAAGGTTCAAAATTCTCAAGAAACACAAGTGGGAGAAGCATACAAGACACACTTCCCAACAGGGGGTGATGTCTCCTCCCTTTTTTATCCATCGCAAGCAAAAGAGCTGCAGGTAAGCAAAAGATTTCTGGTCCAAGTATATCTTGTTTTTACCACAAATTATTTTCCTTGGTTAACAATAATTATAATTTTGCCAATATTTGCGGATCCCATTCTAACTAAGGATTCTCGTGGTTTCGGAGAATCTAACTATAGGACAACTAGGAACAGAGAGCTTTCCCCCCTTTTACACCCAACTTTTGGTCTTAAGAATGCTGGTTTTAAGAATGAGTGATTGCCAAAGAGAAAGATAACAAAAGTGATATGCAAAATATTCTTTTACGTTGGCAAAAAAGACTAGTAATAAAGCTTCAATAATAAGTTAATAACTTACGCAAATAGAGAAAATCTGAGATGGCATGGTTTCACGAAATGATCAAGCGAACTATCTGACCCTGAAACCGGAATGACTTGGAAGCTTCTCTTAAGCATTTGTTTTTTTGATCTCGAGACCAGTGCTGTAATCACATTGCGGCAAGAGGGTAGTGAGAATTTTCACAGGAAAAAAAAAAAAAAAAAAAAAAAAAAAAAAAAAACAGATTGCAATTTGCAAGTACATATATATATATATATATATATATATAGATGATGGTCAATATGATAGTAACCTCTCCAAGCATGTTGAGCTTTTCACGAACACCTCTCAACAACTCTTGTACATTCCCTTCCCATTTGGAAAATTCCAGCTCCCTTCCATCTAGAAGCTTCTCGGACAACTTGAAAACAGGATTCAAGAGAAATGGAATATCAACTCACTCGATCTAATACAAGGCTCAAAAGTAAATGTCTTGGCATAGGAAGCAAATTCCACAAATGATCAAATTAGATTTAAAAGCAAAAGGCAAGTATAAAAACCAGCTAGACAAAGTACCTGCTGCACTATGACCTGACCGCCTGCTATGTGAGAGAAATATATGTTATAGAAATGGCAGAGGAACAATGGGGCACTCCTCTCGGCTAGTTGTTCCAGATACTTTGAATAAGAAACTCCGGGGTTGCTCGGCTCCGGAATCACCATGCCCTTTTGCCTAAAACATTCTATATCTCTCGAAAGCCCCTCTGATCTTTCAAGTCCAGTCTTTCTGAAGTAAGCATCTGCACATAGTTTATGAAGAAATATAACAATGGTGGGATAGTTCACTAAATACTAAAGAGAACTCAGAAACCCGAAGCGGGACATAACCAAGTACCCAATTAACAGGCAAAAGTAAATTACTAAATTCCACTTCATTTCCTAAACTTTGTATTTGCTAAAATATAAACTAATCATTTACTGTTTCTCAATTTCTTAGCTCCATGTTTAACAAGTATTTGAGGATTTTTTTTGGGTCCTTCCAAAGAATGTAACATGTGTGAAAGTTAAACATGTAAGTTGACATTTATTCAATATAATAATGATTTTGAAAAAGCGTAACACTATATGTGGTAAGTAAATTTCTTATGATTACATCTTCCAAATACCATGAAATGTAAAATCAAAGCCCTTTCCTAAAACTTGAAAGAGAATTCTACCGTAGGGTGCAGTAGAACTTTTTAAACCGTTAGATTTACCAAATTAAACCTAATATTTAAAAACATGCATCACGGATAGTTACCACAAGTGTAGAATCACCCAATTTTGAATGCTTAGGAATACTAATAAAGTGGGTTAATTGACATTATAAAGAACCTGTACTAAGCACTATCAGTAATAAAAAGTGGGCCACACTTGTACGTCCGACGCTGCAGGATCTATTTTCTATCAGTCGATTAACACCGATGGTGTATTATAGCAATGCTCCATTACAAAGGATTATAAAGGTAAGAACTTGAGAAAATGTTCCTAAATTTTTTATCTCTACAAAACAAAAAAGAAAAAAAAAAGGCAAAACTAGGAGTGAAAATATCAAAACTCACAAGCAACGTCATTGGAATCATCAACAATGCGCTCAACGGTGCTGAACACGAGCTGACTATCGACCAAGTAGTTGAGGAAGCCTTCCATGGTGGGATGCCATGTGTCCCCCACATCACCGTCCGATTCTTCTGATCCACTGCGTCCTCGTTCCTCGCCTTGGTCGAGCATCGAATCATTATCATCGCTGCTATCGTCTTCTTCATTCTTCGAGTACTTCTTGCCGTCAATGTTGCGGAGTCTCATGGCCACGAACCTCAACTCCTCCGTGATGCCTTTGCTCTCTCCCGGGTACTCCCTCCGATACCTCGTCCTCTTCTTCACCACCGGAGGCGCCGGAGATGTCGCCGGAGCTGGCGACCAAGACGGAGGCGTCGCGGCGAAGCTGAAGTCGGAGCGCCGGACGATTAGGGCTCGGTCGTGAAGTTTCTTCGAGTGATTGGCTGGAATTGCGGAGGGTTTAAGCCATTGTGGTGGAGGAAGGGAATGAGGGAGTGAAAGCGAGGCGTGTGTTGGAGGTTGTGCCAATGGTTTCGCCATTAGCGCCATTTTGTGAACGCCAAGGAGTTAACCGGCTAAATTTCCCACCTTTCAGGTGGTTAAGGCAAAAATCCCTCCTTTGCCGAGATATCTTTCTTTTGAAACCTTTTTTTTTTTTGAAGCAGCTTTAAAAAAAAAAAAACTATACTTGCGTTGCAATATTTTATTTGGGTATTTATAGTTGTAATATTTTGAAAGTGACATGGAGATTAATTGTAAAATAGTCCCTTTTAAATGCTGTTTAAAATATTTCAGTCAAGAAAAAATCACTGTAGTAATTTGGACAAAATTCTCCGTTTCCCTTCTTTTTTTTTTTTTTTGGTCGTGCCGCTTTTCAAAAAATTTTGTAACGAATATCAATCCACCCACAATATGTAAATGAAACATTTGCTCAAAATTTTTCATTTTTTTTGTTTTTAATTTACCGGCCAAGAGATTAACGAGTGTAACAAAAATTGGGAGGCCAAATTATAAACACAAACTATAAACAGAACAAGTTAAGCATTATGTATGGATGGGATAACACAAACTATAAACAGAACACGTTAGCATAAAATAAAAGTAAATAAAGAGAAACGGCTACTATAATTGATGAAATAATGTCAATCTCAATCGGGTAACCGGTAACGTTACAATGTGCTTGTATTCTGATCTTAATTCTCTATCTTCTCTTTAGGCTTTATCTACAAAATACAACATCAGTGGGGAAAGAATATTGGTGTATATGTACAACTCGAGCAGAAGAATTACAGAACCTTTAGAAAAATGGAAGAAAAATTGTTTCTTTGTCTCTATCACTATAAGATCATGTGGGTGGATGTTAGGAGGAAAAATGGGCAAGATTCATCTCATCAGGTTATTATTTTTTTCAAAAAAATTATTTTTCAGGTTAGTATTCTAGTACTCCTGACTTTGCAACAAATATACTTCTGTTGTGTCCAAGATGCGCCATTTTACAGCTTATGCGCACCTCCTAGAGCCTCATTGCATCAAGAAAAACCATCGTTGAACTAAGTTCCAGATGCACCATGAACATGATTGAAACATTTTCCAATGTATCGATTTGTTGCGCAAATTTCACTTCATGTATTGGCTTTGAGCTTTCTCAAGAACTCCAAAGTCTCGGTGTACGATGGATCGGCACGGCTGAGTGGTTTGCAAGAATTTATATGATCTGTGGACTCCAAGACCTGTTTCAAAATGACAAAAATTAGGACACTATGAAGAATGAAGAGTTTGTGAGCTTAAAGTTTGACTGTACGCTACACATTCTAAAGTTGAGCAACCGTTCAAAGTAGTTAAACGTGACCAATTTCCAAGCAAACAAAGAACATCAAATCAGTTGGAAAATGAAAAGGCTAGTAGTAAAAAAGCCCCTCGAAAAGACCGTGTTTTTCATCATTACTATTGTTGATGTTGTTCTTTTCAATATTTAATATGCATATGGTCATCTGCAATCATACTCACAACAAGTTCACCAAATCCAGGATACGCTGATTCAATTGGAACTATTTCCATTCGAAAGGCCCATCCTCCATAGCCTTCGACAATCGGGGTTACTTTGGTCTGTAACATGGTCAACGCTTACATATCAAGTTGACAAAGAGATGCATGAACAAAACCAGAAATGGAGTAACTTAAAGACTACCTCACAAAAACTAAGAACATCAAGCAACCCCTTCTTGTGAAGTTGACGGGTAAAGTCATTAAGCTCTATTAATCTTGTAGATCCACTTCTTAGCTCTCCAATCTAAAGAAACAAGAAGTGCTCAATGGTATCAACTTAATATATAAACAAGCCCCAACTTCAAAAGTTAGAGAAGTAACAATTATCGTGATAGGGAAAGAAGATGAAAAACTAAAGAATCCAACAAGTTCTTGAAGTTCATATACTAACACTTGGGGCAGGGCGCAAAACCAGGCCCATTCTCCAAGGCATGTCTGCAAGTTTGCTTCCAAAGTGTGGGCAGCTGTAGAACACCTGAAAACCAAGGTAAGACGCTACCATTATCATCTATGAACAATAAATAAAATAACCACGATGTAAGAAAATTAGTGACTGAGATGAAGCATACGACTCCAATGGTGTTTTTGACAAGGTTATCAACATTCTCCGTCTTTGCTTTATACAACATTTGCTTGACAACAAGTCCTCCCATGCTGCACATAAAGAGCAAGATATTATTTTATAGAAGCAATCATGAAAGTTTATAGACACCAACTTGGCTATGAAAATATGCTGCGAGTAGATGCCACATGCACAAAGAACACAAGACAAACCTGTGAGTCACAAAGACAACAGGTCGGTCACCAATCCCAGCATCAACAAGCTTTTCTAATAACATGGAGCTGACTTCCTGTATAAAGCAAACAAAAGAAGTTTTATATAGTGATAATGGAAGGGTGTAGATGTTGTTTACCTATAGAATAATACAATCCATCGAAGAAGATCCCTACGCTTGAAGCATAAAGAATAATACGAGGTCATGGTATATTTGACAAGGTTAATCAGTGTCCTCTTGTTGCCCCATAGTGTAGGCAGACAAGGACTGTTGTATTTCATCAAATGCACACATACTCGTTATGCCAATGAAATTTTTTCCTAAAGCCAACAAGTTATTTCACAAATATATTTGTTCTGTTCAAACTGGATTTTAAGTGGATAACCCCTAGTGTCATCAAAGCCTCAAATATATTTCAATGAAAAAATAAGGTATGTTAACATAATCTTCTGCCAGAAAGGTACCTTACCAATCTATCTGACAAATAACGAGCTTAATAATAACCAAGAATACAAACCTGAAGAGGAAGGCTAGCTCCAGACCATTGAGTGAGATTTGTCTGCATAAAAAACTCAAATGGTGTAAACTTTGTGGGTCCGTTGAGCAATATGACAATGAACTTCGAAGGTAAAGGATGCAAAGTTTGAAAGACAACTGATTTTTTAAAGATTCTAAACCCGTTTGTTTTACTGGTTTAGCTTAGTTTAACTCAGTTCAAACAGTGAGCACAGTTTAAATTTGTGTTTGGTAAGCACGCAATTCGAATTATATTTTTCCTTTGAACTGAGTTAAACTGTCCAACTTAGAGTTTAGCTCTCCCCCTTAAGTTCAATCGTTCAAACCATTTTTTAACAGTAAAAAGGTGGCCACTCTCTATGCTTCTCACACCTATAAATACAAAATCGAATTTTTTTTCCATGTTCAGATCAAAATCTTAATTGCACATCCAAACGCCAATTCGAACTACAATTTGAACCACACAGTTCGAATTTTCTTGTTCAAACAAAAAAGTTCAAATCAACAAAATTCGGACCAGCGAACCAAGCTTTGTTTATCATAAATTAGCAACAAACCTTGTATTTAAGTGTGAACATGCGGGCTTGAGGGAAGTCGGCAGAAAGCCATTCACCTGGCCAGAATGTTCCTAGCTTTCCTGCTTCCTGATCAATCTTTTCGACTAACCCAGACTTAGTTGATGACTTGTCCTCAGCTATGCGCCATGTCTTATAAGGACCACCACGAAGACCATGAACAAAAACAACATCAAAAAGTGGAGTCTCACTCATTCCTAAGCTGCTTTGAGATGCGTCTGAACCAAACAAGTTATCATCATTTGAGGGTCTAGTAACAGGTTCGTCCTCGTGATCAACAGCAATGGTCTCAGCTAAAGAAGATTCCTCCTTTTGAAAATTGTCCTGATCACATTTTTCAGGACACTTCCAGTGGGGTAGTTGAGGATTGATCAAAAAAATTATGTCATTATAATGAGGACAAGTTTTTCTTTTATTTGCAGCACCAGAATTAGGAATGTCATCATTTACAGAGTCCCCTTCACTTTCTTGATTACAGAATATATTTAACAGCGTTGCCCTCGCATAACTTTGTATTTTAAGATCACTGCAGCCTGGGATCTTTCCATTCGCACAACTCTCAAGCCATGTACACCAATTTTCATCGGCTAAAATGACTTTCTGGACCTTTGGGAGCAATGAGAGGATAGTCAACAGTCTCGCTGCATGCCTTCGGATGTGAGCTGTCGGTGGAACTCGGACACTAGATTGATCATTATTATCTGTCTCCGATGATTCACTGGGGACATTTGCATTCTTTTCTTGCGCTTCAAGGATCTTGGAAGCATCATATGCTTTTATTGCAGCCAGTTTTTCAAAGTCATCACATAGCAAAAGGCGTCTCAGTAAACATAGGACCCCACAATCAGTAATTTTATCCCGACACGAAGAATCATCATAAGAAAGTTCAGCTAATGCTTTGATCCCCTTCAGGGTTGCCATTGCAGAATCTGCTACATCAAACTTAGGTACACTATCTTTCTTCAGATTTTTAGATGGCCCCACAAAAGGTTCCATGGAAAGAAGATTGGCATATGGAAATGCATCATTAGAGTCTGTGGCCGTTCCCAGCTGACTTCCTGCTAGATTGACAACAGATCCTGACAATTGATTTACAACTTGTCCCGCAGAAAGAATGTTTGATTGATCAATTTGAGTCTGCAAAAAATATAAAGTCATACATTACGAGCAAATTATCTGTTTTTTCTTTCCCCTTTTTTTGTTGTTACTACATAAGACTTTTACACTGTATCCTACCTCAATTCCAGGACAAAGTGTTGAGATGAATGGTCACTTGGGGTCTTAGAGTTTATACGATATATCTTAATTTTACTTTCATAAAATTATGCATACATGCACAAACACACAAGCATTAAATTATGCTTAGCATGAATATTAATTGGTTCACATGATGTAGACCCACAAAATTATCTGGATACAACATCATGATAGGACTCGGGTTAGTTTGGTTTGATAACTGAATTTCAAGTGAGTTAAGAGTTAGTAAGTGATTAGTTAGGGGGGTATCAGTTGTTTTAGGAAAATTGACTTGGGAAACCAGGTTAGGGTGAGGGGATGCTGCCCTCAAAACATCACCGTACTTTTTGGAGATTTTATCAATTCTAGTCAATAAAGATGATAAGCCCTTACTCAGGCAAGTGTATGTTAGGAGGAATAAACAGGGGTAGGAAATGTTGTTTTTTTAGCTTGCTAGAGGCGTTGGAAGCTGGCTGTGGAAGTGTTAGTATTAGTTTAGTTAGCTTACTGAGAAAGTTTGTTGCTTCGAAGGAAAGTGTATAAAAGGGGGGGCAAAAGGGTTAGAGAGGGGGTCGGGAAATAATCTGTGAATTGTACAAATCTTGGATACATTCCAAGTAAGGGGAGGAAGGCAAACCCTCGAAGTTCTGCCAATTGGAGTGTATATCTCAGCAATTAATAAAGTCGTTTGTGATTCTTTTCTTCATTCTATCAATCTTTTCCTGATTTTGTTCTCAATCGAACCAGTCTTTATCAATTTGGTATCAGAGCACTTTTCTGGGCGATAATGGCTGCCAGAAAAGCGGAGGAGAAATTTGAGGCGATGGAGAAGGAGATTCATCAAGTTAAGGCTGCGGTGGAGAAGGAATTTGGCGAGGTAAGGGCGGAAATGAGCCAAAGTAGAACGGAAATCAACCATAATATGGCTGAAATGAGCCAAAATGTGTCGGATCTACGCCGACTGATGGAGGAGCAGATGCGGCTGCTGTCTGCGGCGACGGCGAATCTGCCGGCGGAGGGATCACGTTCAGGAATCGCGAGGGTTAGGGAAGACGAGATCGGAGTGGTCCAAGGACTAGTTCGTGAAGTTGCTGGACTGGTGGAGGAGGACGGTCGCAATTTGGGAGAAATGGTCGATCCTCGAATTCTCGGGGAAAGGGAAAAGGGAAAACGACGGGAAGTGGACTGCAGGGAGAACCTGGTTGGAGAAGAGATCGCGCGAGCTAGGGTTCGATTCGCGAATGGAATTCGTTCCGATCTCAGTCAAGATGGCCGGAATGGCCGACCCAGGGGCGGCGAGACCGGCGATGGCGAACGCAACCTCCGCGATGGGCGGCGCGGCGATTTCCGAACGGGAGGAACTTCGGAGGATGTACGGGACGGTCGCAGTGGCCGAAATGGAGAAGGGGAAGGAGGAGCTCGTACAGGAAATGGTGCACTAAGACAGAGAGGGGATGGTCGTTTTGAGAGAGGGGATGGTGGTTGGGAGAGAGGGGATGGTCGTTTTGAAGGGGGACGCTTCAGTGGACATATAAGTAGAGAAGGAAGACGGTATTGGGAGGAAAATGAGGCTGAGGACTCTATGGATTTCATGGGGAAGTATGGGGAGCCGTGGGGAGGTGAGGATTTCTCACAGGTAAGGCGGAAACAATTGGACTAACCGCTGTTCAGTGGCACTGATCCGGATGGTTGGCTGTTTAGAATGAGCCACTTTTTCTCAATTAACAAGTTCTCGGAGAGGGAAAAACTAATGACAGCAGGAAGGTTCTCGGAGAGGGAAAAATTAATGACTGCAGGAATTGCATTAGAGGGAGATGCACTATCATGGTTTCAGTGGCAGAATTAGCGGCGGCCTTTCATCACTTGGACTGATTTCAAGGTGGCTCTCCTGCAACGTTTTCGTTCTTCACAAGAGGGAAATCTGTGTGAACGATTTCTAGCGCTTAAGCAAACAGGTATGGTGGCTGAATATCGCCGAAATTTTGAGGTATCGGCTGCCCCTTTACAAGAAGTTCCGGAGGAAATCCTTGAAGGCATTTTTGTGAATGGTTTGAAGGCTTATATTCGGGGCTGAACTACGCTTACTCAAGCCAGAGGGACTCTCCGAAATCATGGACATTGCGCAGCGAATTGAAGAGAAAAATCTGTTGTTGCGAAGGGAGATTAAAGGGTCTCGAGTTTGGCGTCCTCAAGCAGCGGACTCACATCGAATCCGCCAATGGGAGCTCCAGCGAATCAGCCTCAAGGCAGCCCTAGTGTTGAGAGGCCGAAGAAGGATTTTCCATTCCAAAAATTATCCGACTTGGAGTGGCAGGAGAAGAGGAATAGGGGACTATGTTTTCGTTGTGATGAAAAGTTTACTGTTGGGCATCGCTGTAAGAAGAGGGAGTTGCGGATTATGTTAGTTAGCGATGAGGACGAATTTGAAAACGAGGAAATTGAGTTGGATGAGGCAAAGGAGGAGCCCGGGGAATTGCTACGAACGGAGGTGATCAAGTTATCCTTGAACTCCGTAGTGGGGTTGACGACACCAAAAACCATGAAGATAAAGGGGGAGATTGGTCATCGTGAGGTAATTGTTTTAATCGATTCCGGGGCTACACACAACTTTATTTCTCTTACTCTAGTGTCAGAATTAAAACTGTCCATAACTCCTACAACGGGTTTTGGTGTCCAAACGGGCACAGGGGAGTCGGTACAAGGGCAGGGATTGTGTAAGGAAGTGGTGTTGAGCATGCAAAACTTGACCATAATTGAGAATTTCTTGCCACTGGAATTGGGTGGAATAGATGTGATTCAAGGAATGCAATGGCTTGAGACTTTGGGGAGTATGAATGTCAATTGGAAAACTCAAGTTATGAGATTCAAGGTGCACGGGGAGAATGTGATGTTGAAGGGGGATGCAAGTCTTACAAGGTCATTGATTTCCCTCAAGGCCATGATGCGCACCATTCGTCATGAAGGGCAGGGCATTTACTTAGAAATGAGTCAATTGGGGGTGGAGCAAGGTTGTGATAAGGAAGAGGAGAGCAATGAGCAACTTCGAGTTTTGTTGCATAAGCATGCGGCAGTCCTTAACATGCCAGCCGGTTTACCACCTCATAGAGTGAAGGACCACCGCATAATTCTTGAGGATGGCACCGGTCCGATTAGTGTCCGACCGTACCGATACCCCCATTTTCAAAAAAATGAAATAGAGAAGCTCGTGAGGGAAATGTTGGCGGCTGGAATTATACAGCCGAGTACGAGCCCGTTCTCCAGCCCGGTTTTGCTTGTCAAGAAGAAGGATGGCAGTTGGAGATTTTGCATAGATTATCAGGCGCTAAACAAAGCTACCGTTCCGGATAAATTCCCAATTCCGGTGATAGAAGAGTTGTTAGACGAGTTGTACGAAGCCACCATTTTTACCAAACTAGATTTGAAATCAGGATATCACCAAATTCGCATGTGTGACGAGGATGTGCCTAAGACTGCTTTTCCGCACTCTGGAGGGACACTATGAGTTCCTCGTTATGCCGTTCGGATTGACAAATGCACCGGCTACATTTCAGTCTTTGATGAATGAAGTGTTGAAGCCGTTCTTACGCCGCTTTGTGTTGGTTTTCTTTGATGACATCCTGATTTACAGCCGTTCTTGGGAGGACCACTTGGAGCACTTGGATAGGGTCCTTTCGGTTTTGCAGGCCAACCAATTGTACATCAATAAAAAAAAATGTCTCTTCGCACAGGAGCAATTGGAATACTTGGGTCATGTGGTCTCTAGGAATGGCGTCTCCGCAGATTCCAGCAAGATATAGGCTATATTGGATTGGCCTACTCCGCAGTCCATCAAGGAGTTACGGGGGTTCTTGGGCCTCACAGGTTATTACCGCCGTTTCGTGGAGGGGTATGGACGCATTGCGTGGCCATTGACGCAACAACTTAAGAAGGATGCTTTTCACTGGAATTCTGAGGCTGAGGATGCTTTTCAGCACTTAAAAAGGGCTATGACCGAGATTCCAGTATTGGCCTTGCCAGATTTTTCTCAACCTTTCGTGGTGGAATCTGACGCTTCGGGGTTTGGTCTAGGAGCAGTTTTGATGCAACAGCAGCGCCCCATCGCTTACTTTAGCCAAGTCCTTTCAGCGCGCGCTCGCGCCAAATCGGTCTATGAGCGGGAACTAATGGTCATTGTGTTAGCCATTCAGAAATGACGACCTTACTTGTTAGGTAGACGCTTTGTGGTGCGCACCGATAAGAAGAGTTTGAAGTTTTTATTGGAACAGCGCTTGGTAAGTGTGGAGCATCAAAGACGGTTATGTAAATTGCTTGGTTATGATTTCGAGATTCAATACAAACCGGGTCCAGAAAATAGGGTGGCTGATGCCCTATCGAGACAACAAGTGGGACTGGCTTTAATGGTCATGACAACTCCAATGGTGCTTGATATTGAGGAGTTGCAACGACAGATTAAGGCAGATCCGGGGCTCAATAAAACTGTGGAGGAACCGTTGGCTGGCTCTCCTTCGTTGGCGGGGTTTTCCCTTCAAAGGGGGCACTTACTATACAAGGGCAGGTTAGTCATTTCTCCAAAATCTCCTCTTATTCCAACCTTGTTACGTGAGTTTCATAGTAGTAAGATAGGCGGGCATTTGGGGGTCTTTAAGACTTACAAGCGGTTGGCAATGGAGTTTTACTGGAGGGGTATGCGCAAGGATGTCGAGTCTTTTGTGGCTGCTTGTGCTGTTTGTCAACAAAATAAGTCGTCCACGTTATCACCGGCCGGGTTGTTGCAGCCTTGCCTATACCCAACCGGGTTTGGGATGATATTTCCATGGACTTTATTGAGGGGTTACCTAAATCTGCGGGCTATAATTCAATCTTGGTTGTCGTTGACCGCCTCAGTAAGTATGGTCACTTCATTGGCCTTAAACACCCGTTCTCGGCCAACACCGTGGCTGCTTCCTTCGTCCGAGACATAGTGCGCCTACATGGATTTCTGCGGAGTATCATCTCCGATCGAGACAAGGTTTTTATGAGCCATTTTTGGAAGGAGCTTTTCCGGTTGCAGGGCACTACTTTATGCCGGAGTACGGCGTATCGTCCACAGACGGATGGACAAACGGAGGTTGTCAACCGTTGTTTCGAGGCCTACTTGCATTGTTTTGTCTCTAGCCAACCTAGGCAGTGGTTTACGCATCTTTCGTGGGCCGAATATTGGTACAATACGAGCTTTCATGTTTCGGCTACCATGACGCCTTTCAAGGCTCTCTATGGACGGGATCCTCCGCAGTTGGTGCCGTATGAGGCTGGTTCTACGGCTACATCGGAGTTGGAGCGGCAACTATGCGATCGGGATGCGCTGTTGGCGGAATTGAAGGATCATTTGGGTCGCGCTCAACAGTCTATGCGAGACCATGCCAACAAGAAGCGTCGTTCTGTGACATTTGAGGTGGGTGACATGGTTTATTTGAAGCTCCAGCCGTATCGTCATCGAGCATTGGCGCGTGTGGTAAATGAAAAGCTTGCTCCTCGCTACTATGGGCCGTTTCTGATCCTCGCGCGAGTGGGTCCAGTGGCGTATCGGCTGCAACTTCCTTCTCACGCTCGGATTCACCCGGTCTTTCATGTCTCCCGCTTGAAGAAGGCGCTAGGTCCTGTGGATATTCCTCAATCTTTACCTCCGATCTTGTCGAAAGATTTGACGTTGCAAGTGGAGCCCGCACAGGTCCTGGATACACGTTTTTCCCCTGCCACAGGTTCCTTGGAGGTTTTGATTAAATGGCGCTACCTTCCCGACTTTGAATCTTCATGGGAGCTGTTTGAGGTGATTCAACGCCAGTTTCCTACCTTCCACCTTGCGGACAATGTGACTTTGTTTAGGGGGGGTGTAATTGATAAGCCCTTACTCAGGCAAGTGTATGTTAGGAGGAATAAACAGGGGTAGGAAATGTTGTTTTTTTAGCTTGCTGGAGGCGTTGGAAGCTGGCTGTGGAAGTGTTCGTATTAGTTTAGTTAGCTTACTGAGAAAGTTTGTTGCTTAGAAGGAAAGTGTATAAAAGGGGGGGCAAGAGGGTTAGAGAAGGGGTCGGGAAATAATCTGTGAATTGTACAAATCTTGGATATATTCCAAGTAAGGGGAGGAAGGCAGACCCTCGAAGTTCTGCCAATCGGAGTGTATATCTCAGCAATTAATAAAGTCGTTCGTGATTCTTTTCTTCATTCTGTCAATCTTTTCCTGATTTTGTTCTCAATCGAACAGTCTTTATCAAAAGATTCATTCTTTTTTGATCGATTTGTGTTTGTGAGATTGGTGTCCTATCACATCATAAGATATAACAGCAATGAAAATGAAGGAAAAGATATACAGACCTTCACTTTATCAGCTTTAGGCTGAACATTTCCTTTGACTGACGCTGCCTTGCTGGAAGCTAAAACTTCAGAAAGCAGAATAGCTAACCAACCTTGGGAGATTGGAATAGAAAATGGTCCATGGTCTTCAAGAATGGACGAAAGAATTTTTATAGCTGAAGAATGTAAATTGTCTGATGAATGTTTTCCAAAAACCCAAGAAAGCAATATGCCAGACCACTTTTGGCTCTCTTCAAGAGAAAAATGCAAGTCCGCACTACACATCAATTCCAATGCCTTCGCCAATGCTTCTTGCACATGTTTATGCTTTGTTGTCCGCTTAGCAGTTTCTCTCATCAAATGAAGACCCTTCTCCATCACTGTTTTCTGCGCTCTAGGGCTTCTCTCAACAGAAACCAAAAATGCTGACAAGGCAACCTGAGCCAGAGGAATATCATCATTTTTACTAGCCTGGGAAACAGTAGAAAGGAGACTGGAACACCAGTCAGAAACATAATCATTTAGGGGTATATTTTCGTCAGCTAATAGTAACTTAGCCACCAAACTCCCATGCCATTTTACAGATCTCTCAGGCGCCGTTAAAGCAGTCATTACAGCTTTTCCATCCTGATCCATTTCTTGTATGAGTGACCTGTTGACATCTGATGCCATTGCCCAATTAGCAAGTGCCCACGCAGCAAAAGGAACGGCAACATGTTCACAATGCAAATCATCCCACAGCCCAGGAACAACAGCAGAAGCCAATTTGGTGTGTGCCAGGGAATTGTCACGCTTATTTTGCAAAACACGACCTTTTGTATAAATCTCATCTGATTCCACATTTCTAGGACTTGAACTCCTTAACTCCATCAGTTCAGTTGTTCTTGAAAAGCCTAAAACTGTTGTGCCCCCAAGAACTTTAATACCAATCCCTTTTATTCCCCCTCCACCGTCTCCATCATCTTTGCCTCCAAGTGACTCCTCCAAATGCATGCCACCTTCCTCAATAACTTCAATGACAGCTGCAATATCTCTTGTTTCAGCATTTCCAGGAAGAGATGGCTTAAAAGCTAAGTTTTCCAGACTATCACAGTTGGATGTGACGACATCCATGATGGCGGCCACAAGCATGCTCCTGCCTTTCAAAGAATCAGAAATATCGAGTGAACTACGTCTTGAGTGCTGCTCCCACAAAAATGCTTGATATTAATGGTAAAACACTATAAAAGCATCTAAAGATCAAGAATGAAGCTTTTCTAACCTTAACCACGAATTTCCACCATTGAAATATGTAGGAGTGAAGCTTAGACATTCAAATGATAAAATGACTGTATTATATAAACCATCGCTCAAATTCATGACTTCCACCAATTGCTATTACGCATTCCAACATACCATGTAATCCACAGATAGCATTATGACAAATATGTCATAGGCATAGCAAATGAGAGCCTCTTTATTTTCGTTTCTTATAGAAAAAATGAAAACTTTCGAACGTAAAATGGGTCTCCCTTGCGTAATAGAATCCATTCGGACGAAACAATTCGTTAACAGCCTTACTCAATTTATGCATACACAATGTTTTACTCCAATTATTCTAGGATTTTGATGCTTATGATTCAAATACAAGAACAAAAACAGATAATGAAAGTTTCTAATCATCAATAAATAGATTAATTTATTCAACAAGACCTAAAAACAGACCTTAAAGATTTTGGATTGAATATTCGTACCTCCAAGGCAGAGAGAAACTAAGAAAAGAAAATCCTAAAAACCTCACCTTTTTGGACCTCCGAGGCTGGCACGAAAAAATGAACCTCAGAAGTTTGGGAACGGCGCCGGGCCTCCCTAGCACGGCGGCGGAGACATTAGGATCGGCGATCAAGTAGGCGAGCGCTCTGGCTGACTCGGCCTGCGTGCCGTTTCCATCCCGTTGAACGGCCACCGACTCGAGCAACCAATCGACGACGGCGCCTCCGCCGGCGCCAACAATGGCAGCCCTGCGGCTCTCATTCGCCGCGGCAATGTCCGCAAGCAGCGCGGCAACCCTAAGCCCGAAGCCGGAGCGAACCTCGTGATTGGCCGAGGAGAGGACCGAACTGAGGGACTGCCAGAGGACGGAGGCGGCGACGCCGGTCTGCTTGACGTGGTGGAAAACCTTCTTGAAGGACTCACCGGACTTCTGGATCGCCTGTTCGACGCCGGCGTAGAGAGGGTTCGAGGAGGTCCCGCGGTCGGATTTCTGGTCGTGATCGGAGGACGAGAGAAGCGCGACGGCGGCGACGAGAGCGGAGACCGCGGTCGCCGCGGAGACGGCGATGACGGAGTTTCTAGAGAGAGAGGGCGGTGGGCGAGGAGAGAGAGTGGTCGGCTGGCGGAGAATGGGCGGCGGAGGAGGAAGGAGTTGTTCGGGATTGTCGAGGTCGGTTGGGGGTTCGGAGGAAGAGGAAGAAGAAGAAGAGGAAGAGAGGAAGCGATGGTGGTGATGGTGATGGTGAAAATGGTGGCGGCGAGGAGATCGGAGAAAGCAGAGGCGAGGAGCTCTGAGATACAGATGAAGCATGGTGATGGTAAAGGCGGGAGGGAATGTCGCGATTTTTTTCGTAGCGCTGAAGAACAGGAGTTGAAAGAAAGAAAGAAAGAAAGAAAGACGGACGGGTAAAAGAGAACTATCGAAACGGCAAACAGGATTCGCGCTTGGAATTTGTTCGACGATATGCGAACCTTTTCAAAAAAGGATGTTTGATACATTTACCCCTGAATTTGGATGCTTTTAGTAATTTGCTCTTTAAAATTTTTGAGGTTGGTAAATTCCTCTCTCAACTTATAAAATTATTTTAATATGTTATATTTTAACGATGATTGTAATAAATTAGTGTTAGAAAAACACGTCCGATAAAAAATTATAACATCCCAATTTAAATATTATTCAAGTTTTTAAAAGCCTCAAATTTTAATCATTTAAATCTAATAAAAATTTTAAACAAATTTAATAAAAGGGGATACATTACAACGATTTTATAAGTTCAGATGGTTACTTGCCAGTTCAAGGGATAATTTGTTAAACCACAACAAGTTCGGGGGTAATTGTACTAAGAGCCTTTCAAAAAATTGTAATGGAAAATTTTCATTTTAGTATCTTGTATTATATTGAAATATGCGCTTTTTAATACCTTATATTTTTGATAAGTTCATACAAGTCAATCGATATTTTATAAAATCTTTTTTTTAATACTCTAAGACACTTTTTGTCACGCGAAATGTCATTTATACCATGCTCATTATTTAAATAGAAATCAATAATTTTCTTGAAACTATTTTAAGCATTTAAAAATTTTAAAAAAAAAGCAATATAAAAAAATCAAAACACAAAATCAATCACTCTGTCTTTCTTTCTCTCTTCAGTTATCGACAATCTCTGTAGCCCCGGCAGTCCTAGCCAACCTTCAGCGAATTCCAGCCCTGCGTAACCCCAGCCCCTGTAAGGCCTAACCCAAGTGAGCTCCATCCTCACTGGACCCACCTGACGAGCCCATATTTACAATCATCTACCCTACCCGCGTAAAAAGGCATTTTTGAATGGTTTTTTTATAGATCAATAGATGTTTTGAATGGTTTTAAAGGTTGAGGGGTCATTTTGAAAATAGATATATAATTTAGGGAGTATTTATGAAATTTATCCTAAAATGGATTTGATTTTCGTCCTTACACTGCACCTTAAGCAAGTAAGCGCCTCCCAAATAATGGAACTTAACAAAACAAAATAGTTACAACAATATTAGGTTTTTTGTTTGGGAAAAGTGGTATGTGTAATCCTGATACTTAAAATAATAATAATAATAATAATAATAACTCTGGTACAATTTTGAAGTATTGAAAAAGTAAAAATAAAAAAAAAGGATAGAAATGAGAGTTCAAAAACTTGTTAACGTGGTGCTAAAGATTCAAGACAAATTTGTAAAAGGTTTTGAAGATTGAATAGTATGAAAAAATATAAGAAAATTAATGAACTTACTATTAAAAAGTGCACGGGTTTAAATTTCTACTTTTTATTCTTAATTAATACCATTTTGATTAATATAATATTTGATTAAAAAAGTATTGATCAAGAGTAAGGGGTACAAATCAAGATCTATATAATTTAAACGAATATTTGTCTCTTTTTCTCATACTAGTTGAAACCACACGCTACGCAGAGACATTCAACATCTTATATTTTTTTTGGATATAAAGATTTAAAATTTCTTCAAATTTTTTTTGTTGACTTTAGTATTCCTTTAAGAGTTTAGTTTAGCAAAAATAAAAATTAAAAAATTTAAGCGAAGCATAGTTAAATGGAAAACAAAGTTTTTAGTGGAACAAATTAGAAAATAATTATTTATGGGTACATATGAAGAAATAGTATTTAAGAGGATTATAAGGAAAATTCAGAATTATATGTCTGAATTTTTACTTCTTACTATTGATTTATACCTTTCTAATTAATATAATTATTTAATTAAAAAATATTAATTAAGAATAAGGGGTAAAAATTAAGATCATTTTGTTTCATTTCCCCAAAGATTAAAGATGAATATTGGTATTCCTCTCAAAAAAAAAGAAAAGAAAAGAAAAGAAAAGATGGATATTGGTAGGCCGGACCGCCAATCATGAGCTAGTCCAAGCAAAGCTCATCAGTCAAGCCCAAACTTGCAAAACTAGGATGGTCGGGCCAAGCCCAGGAAACTCATATGCCCTAGACTACTAACCCAGCTTGTGTCACACCCGATAACTTTGAGAACAAGGCAACCTTGTTCCACTAGGAGAGATGAGCACAATTTAGGAATCTGCCCTCCCCATCACCGCTCAGATAGATAACTTAAAATATTATAAACGGTTTTTAGAAACGGTTTTTAGCACATCTGCCCTCTAAATTTATTATAATTTAAAAAATTACTCTTAAATTTTTAATTTTAGTAAGTTGCTCTCTTAATTTATAGAATTATTATAATATGTCCTTCTAAACTTGTTGTGATTTAGTAAATTACCCCTTAAATTTTTAATTTTGGTAAATTATCCCCTTAATTTATAAAGTTATTATAATATGCCTCATTTTGACGATGATTGTATTAAATTATTGTTAAAAAAACACGTTTAACTAAAAATTTTAACATTCCAATTCAAATGTAATACAAATCTTTCAATATCTCAACTTTTAATCCTTTAAATTCAATAAAAAATTTGAGCAAATTTAATTAAATGAGACACATTGTAACAAATTTACAAATTAAGAGGCAACTTGTCAAAATTAAAAGTTTAAGGGACAATTTGCTAAACCACGTCAAGTTCGATGAGCAATTATGCCAAAACCCCGTTTATAAAAGATGTCCAAATTTCGACATCCTTTTAATCGATGGCATAACGATGGATAATGACCTATTAGACTCGCTCACCTAACATTTAGAGATTGATTCCCATTGTTCATAATAAAATTGAAGTTATACAATTTAGGTGCTGAATATGGCTTTAAGCATATGTAACTTTGGACTCCTTAAATGCTGGTTGACGAAATTAATTGAGCCAAGTTTCAAGTAATTACTGAGTGCGAACATAAAGATACTATTGATCCCTTTTTTCAATCAGAAAGAAAAAGGAAAAAGAAAAGAAGAGTAATCCCTTCAAATGAAAAAACAAAGTATCAAAACCCACTTTACAAAACAAAAACAAAAAAAACAAAAGTTAACAATCGACAAATTAAACATAACATAACATAATCTACAAATTGATAAACAACTAAACGACAACTCCAATGACAAGTAGTATAGCAACAATCCAGCCAATTGCGATTTGTGACGGTCCTTGCATCAAAAAGAAAATAAATAAATAAATAAATATTGTCCCAAAAAATGGTTGATCATAAAATATTTGAAAATTTTGTATTGAAGAAATTTAATTAAATACTTTTGTGGATTAGTACAAAAAATTGACCAAGATGGTCTTAAATCGTTCTAGAAACGTCGTTAGTTAAATTAAAATATATAACAAAAAAAAAAGATGAGAAACAATATAATAGTACAACAATAATGTTGTCATCAGTCAATTTCTAATCAATTTTCCGATATAAAAACGGTAGCGTGCAGGTGCACTTCGGATATATATTAATATGATTCATATGATCTAATAGCAATATACTATATAGCATGACAAGTTAGAAACTCATGACGAATAGCAATTTCTTTTTTTGCTAAACGAATACACACACGGATATATATATATATATATATATTAATGAGTTAATTAATTTTTAAATCGAACACATCTACTTAATCATTGGCTTCGCTTACTTGTTCTCATTTTCTTCTTTAATCAATTGATTACGGGATAAGTAGGAATCACTTGGTCGCCTCAAGGTGGATTCCAATAATAGACCAAAAGAAAGAAGTAAAACCGCCGAGTTACTAATTTGTTGAATTCAGAGATAATTAAACTCCTTATCTTCATCCCTTTTTATGTATAATAAAAAAAAAAATGCATGAATTACAGATTGTATATAATAATTAGTTTCATTTCTTTTGCACGTTAATTATGTCGCGATAAGGCGGAAGTAACTGAATATTAATCTGTTTGACCAATGGATCATCAGCTGACGAATTCTTTTTCTTAATGAAGACTTCGTTCTAAACATGATCCTGACGATTGAATTATAGATGTAATTTCTTTAAATTTTTTTAAAATTTTAATTTCTATTTAAATCCTTTGTCCCTAAGATACAAAATTTTATACAATGGTATATTCATTATTATATCAGTTTATAATTGGCTTACTTAGCCTGCCCCAAAATAGCTATGCTTGCAATTTCGATGATATCTAAAATGCAAATTGAGCTGGTTGCGCTGATAGGTTAAAATCGGTGTTTTAAGTGGTTGTTAATTTTTAAGATATTGTATATGAGCAATTTTATTTCAGACAAATTTAAATTTTCTTTCAAGATTTTGGATCTTATAAAAGATGTACATTTGTTTCCCCTAAACTGTGAAACTGTAAGTAATCTAACCCTTCATTAGTAATTACCCTCACGCATGCGATCAAGAAAATAAGAGTATTTTGGTAAAAGGGTGAAAAAAGGAAGAAAATAATTTCAAAAAACACCTATATATATATATATATATATATATATAAGAAATGTTGAGGTGGTTGTAAATAGAAACCAACTATGTAATTAGATCGGAAAACCTAGATCAAAGCTTTGGAAAATTAAAAACTCGAAAAAGGGTCAGCTCAGCTTTGAGTGATTGTAAAGAAAGATATGGTGGTAGAGCATAGTGATGATGATGAGTCTGAGGATAACATAAGGAAAACATTTTATGAAGAGGGTGAGGAAGAAGATGAGCAAGGTAATGGAGGAGACTTTTCAATGTAAATCCTAATCAAGCCCCGTTGACTTCAATGGCGGCTTATGGGATGGGAGGCATGGTTTAGACTTCCAAATATTTTATTATATGCTCTTCTAGATATGACGTAATATCAACATGGAATAGGGCAATATTTTGATACTAGACTCGATAATGTCTTTTTTTTAAGAATAATATATTTCAAAATACGAAAAGTATTACAAACACCGATCTATACACATAGTCTTATTATAGAAAGCACGCTGGATGACCGGTTTTATCAGTAAACTCTAATGAAACTCAAGGGAAGGTGGTGTGTATCAAACTCCACAAACAGAAATCACCTAAAGAGGTACACAAAAAATTAAGCACACACATGATTCTTTAACAGATCCTCTATAATCGAAAGAAACAATCTGATCAACTAATGTCAAGAAACCCATAGCATGGAAGCTAGACAAAAACCGCAAAGAAACATATATTGCGGACAAAAAAAAAACAGAATAACCTAAACTAATTTGGGGTAAGAACCACTGTCATTACAAATGAAAAATGAAAAAAAAAATCCACAAAGTAGAACATCAAAACACCAAGGAGAGCAAAGCCTCTCAACACCAGCAAAACAAAACAGTAGAAAAGACGAGAGGTTGGTAAACATATGTAGGCGATAACCAACATGTGTACTATAAGATGACTCAACTTCTCTCGCAGACCACAACCTCCACAAGATAGATAGAGACAAAGACTAACGTGTCTAAACACACGCCTCAAGTCTAACAACAATCTCATCCCTACTTTATATTCGATCCAGCAACCATCCTTCTCTGCAAATGGCACGAATTCCACCCTAAACATAGCATCCGATGACAAGTTTGTAGATAAATTTTGGTGGCCAAAGAGGTCTGACAATACACCAAGCCTCGGGCCATGAAAACTCCTCTCTCTTTTTTTCCTCTCTTTTTTGCTAGGGTCGGCTATGTCTACTACCAATCAATAATCTATCTTTTGTTTGAGTGTTGTAAATTATGACGGCTCAGCGTGTGAATTGTCATTTGTAACCCATGTATTTGAAACGTGACAATTTCCTCTTAGAAATTTTTATAATTTTTCATTATGATCCAAAGAATCTTATATTTCTAGATATTTTTAATTGAAATATATATATTTTAATATATATGTCTTCATTAAAAAATTTTCTTAGACATATATAATAAGGTTTAAAAATACTTAACAAATTTTTCTAAAACTGACTTTTAAAATTAATGTGAAATTAATATTGTCCTCTTTGTTCAGTACTGCCTTTTATTTAAATGGTTCAAATTCATCTTTTGTAATAATAGGTAGTTAATTATGATTAAGTAGGTAATAATAAAAAGATGACTATTATAAAAAGATAGTTTTGCACTTATCCCAATTTAAACATATATCAAAATATGAAGAATAAAATGAAATTTAACAAAAATTTTAAAATGTTTTAAATATAGCAAAATGATAGTTTGTAAATAACATAATCATCTTTAAGATACACTTTTAATGATACTTTAAAATGGTTACTAAATCAACAAAAAATCCCTACAAATGTGGTTATTATAATGATATAAAACTGTATACATTCAATTCATTATATATATATATATATTAAATTCAAAATTGAATCAAACATATTAATTACATACCATTTTATTCTTTTTTTTTTATAAAAAAAAATCATTTGTGTTTCAAACTATAAAAATGCATATCGATAAATCTCTCGGTACTTTTTAAAAATAACCATATCATTTTAATTATCCAATAAAATCTCTCCATATCTTCCAATAGCACGACCTAAAACTTTCAACATCCCTAATTATATTCCCAACAAAAAAACATCCCTAATTAAAAACAATCCATAAAGTTAAGTGCCCGAAATCATGATACCCAAACCAACATCAAAAGATCCCACACTTTAGATGAATGATTCTATCATTACATTAATATGTTCTACCGATATGGCAGCTTGAATATATCTTCACAATTTTGTTCGCCTATCTTTAGATTAATGGTTACATATTATATTAGTCTCTAAAAGTATTTTTTTGATACATCCTTTATTATAAGAGGCATCGCTCTAACTGTTTAATGGATATCAACCAAAACTCCTTTTGTAGTTTTTTTTTTATAACTTTTTTTTATACTTACATTGTTTCTCATTCTAAAATAATTATTCTCAAATATGTCCATGTTTGAATATTATTATTTCTAGATAATATAAAATACTATTTTCTCATTTGTACCTCAAAATAATTTATTGTCAAATATGTGACACTAATTTTTTTTAAAAAGATGTTTCATCTTAAATAATTTTTTAATAGACTAAACTCCTTGGCAATAATAAATGAAGAAAATCTTATCCCCACATATTCATAGGACTCTACAAGTTGCACGTATACTTCCAACTAAGTATAACGCTAAAATTTTGTTTTCAAGCCCCACTAACCTTTCCCCAGCAAACCTTGACAAAAACTATTGTGAGGGATATGTGGGAAACTTGTCGATTTATCCACGGAAATAGTAAAAAATAGGCCAGTATGAAAAGCTTAAGAAAGTATATAGATCAACTTTTAATTATAAAAATTAATAGGTCATAACTTGTCAAGTTATAGTTCATAACCAGATAAGTTATGGACAAACTTGTCAAGTTATGGTTCATAAGTCATAACCAAACAAGTTATGGACAAAAATAGATAATAACTTATCAAGTTATGGTTCATAACCATACAAATTATGAATAAAAATAATAATTTGACATATTTATTAACTTATGTAAACTATTAGCCCGTTAATTTTAATTCATCTCAAGTCTTGGCCTATTTTCCTCTTTCTCTCATTTATCCAAAATCATTGTGCTCTCTCTTTGAGCTATTTGGGCTGAAATTTCAAAATAATTAAAAACATAAGGGTTTTCTTTCGGCGAAAAAAACAAAATCAAGGGATTTAGTAATGTACTAATGTGATGCGAATTTTGCTGATAAAAAAAAATCTGATGCGAATTTTAACATGCCATCTCACGCTTCTTCCTCCCGATAGATGGGATAACTTAAAAAAAAAAAAAAAAAAAAAAAAAAAAAAAAAACCCTCAAATGTTACGCCTTCAACGAAAACAAATTTCTAGATTCAATTATGGATGTAGAAAAAGACTATCTATAGAGTATAAAAAATTAAAAAGAAAAAAAAGGAGGAGAGAAAAAGATTTAACATGATTTTCGACAACCTATTTTATGGACTAAAGGAAGAGACAAAAGTTACTAATAAGACCATCTTAAATGTAAATGTCAATGTTATGTTATATTTGCCACTAAAAAAATATGAATGATATATTTGATATTCTATTTTATTTGTTCTCAAACGCATAATACTATTTTAAATGTTATATATGCTTTTATCATAATTATTAAGTTTTGGAATTTGTAAATTAAGCTTTGAAGATTATAATATAATTTAAAAATGCCAGTGTTGTAATGGTTAAAAAAAACTTTTAATACATCAACCAATAACAACAAAATGTTAAAATTTGACATTTGCTATATTTGATGGTGAATTTCTCACCAAATATAGTGTTTGATAAATTTAGCCAAATAAATAGAATTGCATTGTATTTCCACTCAAGTGTAAAAACATTCGCGTTGGAAGATCAATTAGGCATTGCATTGAGATGCTCCAAAGAGCATTATAAATGAGCTTCTTATAAATACAAACTTGTAGTAATTAATGTTTTTACAAAACTATAATAAGTACTTAGCAAGATCTAATATTGCATATTAAAAGTGGAAATAAAACGAAAAGGAAAATAAAAGATTTAACATGGTTTGGTAAGGAGTACTATGAATCTATAAAAATACAAATTACAATGACATAATCAGAAGATTAAAATCAAATAAATCAAAACTACTAATAAATGTAGCAAATTTAACCTTTCTTCTAATATAAAGTAATTTTTGGATTTCCTCGTCCTGTAGACAAAAGGAAACTTGTAATATATTGATCAGTCCGTTAGGGACATCGCTTTTTGTGTTTTCAATACGTTTTTAATCAAGATGACCTATAAATGTAAGAAACAATATAATTAATTCAACCAAAACAAAAAAAAAAGCAATTTTGAACATTGATCAAATTTCTCACCCTAACCACATTACCCTGCACGTTCACCAACAATATTTCTATTGTCTTCAAAAATAACAAAATACCATAAAAAAAAAGAGGGAGAAGAAAATCTTCATGAATAGCCAACAACTCATATTTTATAAAACATAGAACAGGATTAGTTTTCTCTCAAAACAATAAAAAAAAAAATAAAACAGGCTTAATAGTTATTAAATATGATAATACTCCACGCGAGCCACATGCTTAAATTAAATTCAAATTTTGACCAGGAATGCTTGACTTCACAAAACCTGATCACCAGCTAGAGTATAATATATCTACCTATATATATAAGCATATCCTTTAGTTGTTGTAAAACCTTAAAAAACCTTTAGCTCCAATCTTAATAACATATTAACTAATTTTGAAATGGAAGAAAATTTGTCCTCTAGCCTTCCTGTAGTGCAGCCGCCACCAAATTATGGGAACTTGATCACCGTTCTCAGCATTGACGGCGGTGGAATTAGGGGTATCATCCCCGCAACTATTCTTTCTTTCTTCGAATCTCAACTTCAGGTAATGTAGTGCGTTCTCTGTTACGTTACATGTTGCATATATTTCTGAACGTCACGTCATATCACATTAAAATCATATGCTTACGGATTGATGTTTATTTACAAATGCCATGTGTATTACAGGAGCTGGATGGGGAAGAGGCGAGACTCGCAGATTACTTTGACGTGATCGCCGGAACAAGTACCGGCGGTCTAATAGCGGCCATGTTAGCTGCTCCGGACGAAAATAAACGTCCCTGCATTGCCGCTAAGGATATCACGCCCTTTTATCTGGAGCACGCCTCAAAAATTTTCCAGCAAACAAGGTGTATATAATTATATGTGTACATAATTAATAGATGAATACATTAAGAGATGGATATATATGATCATATATTGCACACACACACACACACACATATGTATATATATATATATGCTGATCGATTTAGTTTATAATTTATGCAGCGGGTTTTTGAAGTCAGTGAGAAGTTTTCTGGGAAATTTAGCGGGACCCAAGTACGATGAAAAATACCTTCATGGGCTGATGAGGGACAAGCTAGGGGAAACTCGCTTGCATGACACCGTAACCAATCTTGTCATACCAACATTCGATATTAAGCGTTTGCAGCCAACCGTTTTCTCATCCTATGAGGTCTCTAGCTCTTTCTAGACGTGATAGCCAGTCTAATAAAATCATATAAAAAATATAAGTAGATAGATATACTGAAATTTTGACATCTAGCTAAAAACATGTAGATCTATACCATATCTAGTAACAGTACATGAATATTACGTATTGACCAATCAAATTACTAGTAATATATAATGTGATAATCAAGTGACATAAATTAAATTAAATGAATTAGCATGGTACAGTTCAATATTATTCGCGTCGTGCTAGTTAATTATTAGAAAATGTCGTGCATAAGTATAAATTGATTTTTTTGGTAATAATTTGTGGCTGTAGTTGATTTATATATATATATATATAAATAATGCAGAAATGTATACATATCCTTACTCTTTTTTTTCCCTAAATGGTTTAGTGGGAAAAGTGTTAATACATGACTGATTCTGCGGCTAGATATTGTTGTTCCATTTCAACACTGGTTTATTTATCTAGAATTAATGTATCTTGTTTATAGGAATGTTGATCGAGTACCAGTATTTTCAAGTCAATTAATTAGAACAATGTACTCAACATGAATAATAATGCTTGCGTTCTCAGTTGTTTATATGATAGAACTCCAATTCGTTGGGTTTTAATTTGTCAACCACCAGCACTATATCTTGTAATTTATTGCTGGGAAAGGAATTTCATAATAGACATTTCAGTCAAATATTTTTTTCTAGTTAATTGAAGGACTAACCTGCATCTATTTAAATGCTATCTACCAAAAAAAGACTATTATTAAATGCATCAATAAGTTCATCAGACAATTTTTTTTTTTTTAATTTTATATCTTCTTGCGTTTTTGTCATATATATTGCAGGTAAGAAGTTCACCAGACTTGGATGTTAAACTCTCTGACATTTGCATTGGTACTTCGGCAGCTCCAACTTACCTTCCTGCCTACTACTTCACCAACCAAGATGCTAATGGAAATGTTCGCGAATTTGATCTTGTCGACGGTGGCGTTGCTGCTAACAATCCGGTAAAACTTAATATACGTTTACACACACATATATATGTATATATGTGGATATGGATTAACTTTAGTATTTCTTCTTGGAAAATAAAGAAATAATATTGATATAAAAAACTAACGCTTAAAAATGATTTTAAAATGGAATGTTTAATTAGGTCTTAAAGCTATTATTAATTCCGTGACGTATATAGCTGCAAATTGTAGGTTACTGTCCTTATCCCTATAGGACAATATTGACAAGAATCTTTATTTATATAAGTTCCTACAAATATATATATATATATAACGAAAATAACTTTAATCTCGGATTTTTGCATGGTTTATTTTATTAACACATTGACTTGTTATTACTAATTAGGCCTAAGCTTAGCAATACAGTAATATGCGGCACGAGGTCGACTGAGGAGAAACAACTTACAGCTAATTAAGTTTGGGACCTAAAAATTAATGTATAATTTCAAAGTTGAAAATTAAGGACTAAAATATGGCTTTGCTCAAAGGTGGTAAAAATAATATCCAAACTTTATATTAGTTGACAGTAGTTCACATTACACGAGACTAATTTACATTGCTCTAGCCTCTAGGCACCATCGGTGCTCAACACTGCATGCATATTAATAAAAAACAGATCCTGCAATATGAGGCACATAAATATGATTTATTTTCTATTCTTGTTGTCACTCAACACCGATTCATGTACTCCCACATATTTTTCATATATATATATATATATATATATATATACACACATAGATATATGCTAGCATTAAATATTTATAACTTGACTTTCGTTAATAAACTTTTTCTTATAAAAGAAAGGTCTATATTATATGTTTATAAATTATAACTATCTTCTGCAATATTTTTCCTTTTTCGTTCAGATTTTGCATGTCTATTTTATTGAAACTGGGTATTTAGTATGAGGATTCGTATTATGGTTCGAATCATGGTTTGTAGCTCGGTACTGTATTTTTTTTTTTAAAAACACACGTAAATCGAAAATAGTTATAAATCATAATTCTGAATTTGTGAACTAAACGTCCGGTTACAGTTTATTTCCTTATAACTCTGAAACTATATATATGTCTATCCACTCACTTATTTTTCCAACTCCGTCCTGTATCATATCAGACATTAATTGCCATAAGCGAAGTGACAAAACAGATCTACAAGCAAAATCGAGACTTTTCCCCGCTCAAGCCAATGGACTACAGTCGGTTCTTGGTGATTTCGATAGGAACTGGGTCGGCAAAAATAGAGCAAAAATACACAGCAAGCATGGCAGCCGAATGGGGCATAATAAAATGGCTATTTAATAATGGTGACGTCCCTATAGTCGATGTCTACAGTCAAGCTAGTTCTGACATGGTCGATTTACATATGTCCGTCATATTCCAAGCCCTCCATTCTCAGGATCGTTATCTTCGTATTCAAGTACTGACTTAATTAGTTCATTTATCACAAAAAAAAAAAAAATCATATACATATATTAAATTATAGATATTATTTTTTTAAGTCCAGCACTCGGATCAATCTGATAAACGTATTTTTTTTTATATCCTTGTATAATATTATTCATCATTCAAAAAATATAATTCAGTATATGTATTGAGTGTTACACTTAAATAAATTAAATGTTAAACACACATATAGTGATGATGTTATACGTACATTCATATGAAAAAAAAATTACATTTACCAGATTTGATTAGGATGTTGGACTTAAGACTTTACCTTAATTATATATGTATGTATGCCCCATCTACTTATTATAATTGTTATATTTATTAGGATGATGAATTGGCGGGGGAAGAATCATTGGTTGATATAGCTACAAAGGAGAACTTGGACAAACTTGTGCAGATTGGGGAGCAGCTACTGAAGAAACCGTTGGCTAGAGTGAATTTGGAGACCGGTTTGTCGGAGCCACTTGAAAATGGTGTTACTAATAAGGATGCTCTCAAAAGGTAACTTTGCTACACATGCGCAACAACGTTAAAATTTAGTGATATTATTAAAAACAATGATATTGAATTTTTAACACGTGTGGCATTGTCGTGTTGTGGCACATTCATCTCTGATGTGTGTGTGTGTGTTTTTTTTTTCTCCCTGAACTTATCGTGAATTTACACTTTAGTCTTTAAAAATAAATCTTTTAAATAAAGTACCTGAAGTAATCATGATAAAATTTCCTACAGGTTCAACTCCCGCTAACCATGGAAGTCAAATATTGTTATTTCTTTTTAAAAAAATTCAGAGACTAAATTGTTAAGTAAAAACTTTGGAGACTATAGTACCAAACTACAAACAATTACGAAGACATGTGTACACGCTAAAAACTAAATGATATGTGTGTTAGACAATGCTTATGCACAGTCAGTATCATCACATGATTCATATAGGTTAACTAGTATTATTACTGGTTTCTAGGGGAAGTATTAATATTACTTTAACTTAGTCTATACTAAATGTCTTTGTATAATAACGATGATGAGAAAATTCAAGAAGTATCCCTTATCAGATTTACTTAAATATAATTTCAGCCCTTAGTTTTTTAAAATCTAAAAGTATCCTCTGTGTGTTTCCTACTAGATTAAATGTAGCCCTTCTTTTAACTCTTTTAGTTTAATTATTTTTTGAAATAACCAAATTGTCATTGGATATTCTATATATTATCAATTTGTGTTAGGCTATGCCAACTTCTGAACACCCCTTTTAGTTTTTTTTAAGTGACCCTCTTAAATTTAGGCATTTAGCAGTGAAGGATTTTTTATTTTTCTTTACTATTTTTGAGCACTAATTTGAACAAGTTGATTTCCTATACACTCCATTGCACTACATTTTGAAATCTTTAAAAAAGAATTGCTCAATGTAGTGCATAATAAACCAACTTGTTAGAAATACCCAGTAGTACTATTAATGTAACAAAAAAAATTTAACAACTGTTTTTTTGAAAAAAAAATTCACTTTCTTCTTAAAATGGAAGAAAAAAAGAAAAAGAAACTTCTTCGTGTTGTAAATTTATTTCACAATGCTGAATGCTGAATCAAAAGAGTCACTGAAAAAAAATCTAAAAGAGATGTTTGGAAGTTGGTATGGCCCAATGCAAATTAAACAAGGGAAATAGTAAAAAATATGTCAATATGAAAAGTTTAAGAAAGTATATAGGCCAATTTTTAGTTATAGAAGTTAATAGGCCATAACTTGTCAAGTTATGGTTCATAACCAGATAAGTCATGGACAAACTTGTCAAGTTATGGTTATAGCCAGACAAGTTATGGACAATAACTTGTCAAGTAATGGTTCATAACCAGACAAGTTATGGACGAAAACAGTAATTTGGCTTATTTATTAACTTATGTAAACTATTGGCCTATTAATTTTAATTTATCTCAAGTCTTGGCCTATTTTCCTTTTTCTCCCATTAAACAATATATGGAATATTTAAGGACAATTTGGCCATTTTAAAAAATTAAACTAAAAAAGTTAAAAAAATGGATACTTTTATGAAAAACATAGGAGATACTTTTTAAATTTTTAAAAAACTCAAGAATAAAAGTTGTATTTAAATAAAACTGGTTTGAATTTTCTCTAATTATTATCATAGTACTAACTCAATGTTTTATGCTCCCCCTATATGTATATACGTGCAGGTTTGCAAAACTACTCTCGTCGGAGAAAAGGCTTAGAGAAGCAAAACTATCTGCGAAAAAGAATTGATCATTTGGGAGTTAACCATTCATAGACCTTACTCCTTTGCGATGTTTATCCTATTCATCCTAATTTGTCTTTCTTTTTTATCATATTTAAACTCCGTCATCAGTTACCAATTTATATATACAAGAATAAAAATGGGTGCTATTTGCAACATAATAACAATATTGTTAAACAAGTTCATCTTCAATGAAAGTGGTCTTTGTTCGGCACAAAAAACTTTACCATACGTTTTTATGTTTATTGATCGATCTAATGCAAAACTATTCTTTTTTAATTTTTCGGGTAGATATAAAACATACTAATTAAACAGGCAAAATGCACAAGGAGTCATCAAGTCTCGCTGTATTCTTTTAGCTTTCTACATAATGCTAAAGTTTTTACCACTTTTGTCGTCCCCAATATTTTGCATTACAACTTTGCCTCGTGCACCTTTCATTTTGATATTTTACCCCTTTAATTTGTAAAATTATTGTAATATGTTACATTTTACTAATGGCTTAGTATAAAAAGAAGCCAACGATAGCGTCATCTTTTGATAAAAAAATCCCTAAGTTTCACCTTAAACCCTAAATAAAATCACTCAAACCTCCAATCAAATCCCAAATCTAACTCATTGCAATGCTTTAGTAAGTTGAGGAGATAAGGGGCCAAAATTAAATTTTAGGAGGCGAACAGCCAACATTCAAACATTAAAGGAAACAACGCAAAAGGTCCTGATGTGCAAAAATGTTAACTCAAAGCAAAATACGCAAGACTAAAAGAAGACATCAAAACATCCGTCGTATACCAGAAATATATATAAATGACCATGTTGTTTGGTTAAAAGGAGGACTTTTATCGTTTTCTCCCGTATAAACTTTTTGCAAATTGACAAATGCCTTATTAATTTTTAATAATTTTAAAAAATTATTCCTAAATTTTTATTAATGTTGTTGAGTATTCGGACTCCAAATCGATAAGTAATTTCGTGAAGAAACATTCTCATTTACAGAAGTGGTGCTCTGTGTTGTTCAAGTAAATTTGTCATTTTTTTCTTCTAGAATAATAAATAAGCGTGTCGTTTATATGGAAACAAGTGACGTCTTTTGATGACTACACGGCGTATATTGAGCTATTATAAACAAAGGTTATGTTACACAATTTCTTTAATATTTTTGGATGGAAAGTTGGAAACAAGCCATGTGACAATGGGCAAACATCTCTTTTGTTCACACTATATATATATATATATACCAATTATAAGAAAAGGTTACAAAGAAGAAGTACTACATTTTCTTGTTCAATCACTTTTTTTCCTTTTTTGTTTTTTGTTTTTGGGGGATGGGGATGCAAAAAATCTTGTCAAGGTTTCGTGAGCTTTCACGTTGTTTGAACTGGAAAAGGAAAACGACATGCAGTTTGCCTGTATTGCAGGAAATATAGACGACAGTTTGCCTTTGATATTAAACGATACGTCAGTTTTGAACAATAAATGTAAAACTACATCACACAACTCACAAATCTTTGAGGATATACATATATATATATATATATTTACGGAGTCGGTTCATATGCTCCTTTTCTTTCCCCTTACGTGTCCCCCAATAATAACATGTCACGTCATGACTTTTTAATTGATGTGATAAAAATTTTTAATTAACGTGGTATTTTAATTGACGTACGTGTCACTAATAATAAATAAAAGAAGATAGGAATAAAGAAACACAGAAATTAGTTCCATGCATTAACTTGACATTCAATCACACGCCCCACGAAGGACGGCAAATACCGGCTTCTACTTCTTTAAGCTCTTGTTTGGGAAATCTTGCTTTGTTTGGTTGCTTAATTTGGCCATTCTTGTTGTTGGAAAAGATATGGAACTTTGGGATCTTGCTTCGTTACAGTGGAGATGGGTAGGTTGTAATGTATAATGTAATGGCGGTGTTAGGATATGTTAATAGGAACAACCTTACAAATTAAACAAGGATTGCTAAATATATATTATGCTTTTAAATAAAGATATTATACATACACACACATATATCGGTTTTTAATTTAGGAAATTGCACCATATTTGCACACTACAACAAAAAAGGTTATTAGCGATGACATTGGTCGTTGCTAAAAATATCGTATTAGCGACGACAAAAGAAAACAAAATTTTTGAACGACATGTCGTCACATTCCATATTTACAACGACATGTCGTTGCACAAACTTTATATAATTACGACGACATGTCGTCGCTAAAATGGAACTGCTTATTAGCGACGACATATCATCGCTAATAACCATTAGTGCCAAAACCATTCTGGCGCCAACAAGCTTGGCGCTAGTTTGTACGTTAGTTGCGACGACATGTCGTGGTAAATATTAATGGTTACAGTTGGCGTTGTCGTGTCCAAAAAGAGGTGGGAAATTTGACACTTTTTCGCGAATAGGTTTCAAATATTTCTTTATTATTTGTGACGACTATGCAAAACGTTGTCACAAAAAATGGTTCAAAGAAAATTCTTTTTAGAATAACCTTTTTGCGACCACACCAGCCGTCACAAAAAAAGGTTTCAGAAAATTCTATCAAGAATGATTATTTCGTCGCAAATAAATACGGATTTAATTTTTCCCAAAAATAGGGTGGAAACTTTGGCGGTTTCGTGAAAATTATTTGCGACGACATTGTTAAATTGTCGTCGCAAAAAGGAACCAAGGTATATTCCTCAAGAATATTCTCAAAAATATTAATGAGGTGAAGAAGGACGCCGTCGTTTTAACATTAATTGCGACGACTATTTAATCTTTTTACGACGATAGAATGTCGTCGCAAAAAAAGACCTATATAACCACGATCGTAGAACTCCTTCCGCCATTTTTTCCCGGTGAGGCTCTCATTTTTCTCTCGTTCTCTCCGTCCAATACCTCCAAAAACACTGAAAATAGCTTAGTATTATCGTTCTCTCTTCAAATCTTTCATTTACGGAGAAAAAAAGTCAAAAAACGTGAAGTTTTTTGCCTCCTACTTTTCCGACCAAAATCACCGTTTTCCGGCCGCACTCACCGTTTTCCGGCCTCCCGAGTCCTATTTTCTTGCTACCTTATCGTTCTCCATCCCCCGGTATTTGTGAGTTTGGATTTTGTGAGTTAATATTTTGGTATTTTATTTATTTATTTTGGTATTTTTGTTATGGTTTATAATTTTGTTTTAGATTTTGAGATATAGTTTGTGGTTTTGAATTAAGAATTGTGAATTTTAAATTAGAATTGAAATTAAAATATGTGATAATTAGATTAAAAATTATTTAATGATTATTATGTGATAATTAAAAAATTAGATAAAATTTTGATTAAGATTATATTAATACTAAAATAATTAAATAAACTAATATTAAATACTTATTATAAAATAATTTGTGTTAATTTTCATAAAATTTGATAAAACTTTATAAATTTTTCGTAGCGGAGATGCCAATGGACAAGAGTTGGACACATTTAAGAAACCAATTGTCTGATAAGTACTGGGATGGGTTATGTGCTTTTATTGAGGTTGGAAAGAATTATGTAAATGAACTCGGAGGTATTAGTTGTCCGTGTATGAAGTATAGAAATCATGAGATGCATCTACCCGAAACAGTGAAAGCGCACATACATTAATGGGGTTTTGATACAAGTTACACCACATGGATTCACCATGGTGAAGTACGTCCTGCTACTGCAGTTGTTAGTGAATCTGTTGACGAGATGTTTACAGTGTTAAGTGATGTGGCTGTGATTAGTGATGATCATGAGACAATGGATGAGACAGAAACAGTTATAGAAGATACACATTACGATGAATTTAGAGATCATGAGACAATGGTTTGATAGTGCCATTAGAATCCATGTTAAGGATGTTTGTGAGCCTTTGCACGATGCCTGGAAGGACGTGGACATCCAGCATAAGAGAGAGATTCAGCAGCACTGCTGGTATAAATTATTCAACTTTATTGTTTTTTAATTTAATCTAAATTTCAATATAATAAAATCATTTAACATGTTCATATTGTATTACAGGAATGGTTTAACCTCGATTATGACCGCGACGATGGTATACTTAGGTTTGTGGTCGACAGGGAGGCTGCAAAATGTTATAAGGATTGGAAAAGCGACCTCCATGACTACTTCAAAGATCTTGGGGGTTCACAAAATGAGAGTGCAGTTAGGGCACAGCCTCCTAAAAATCTCAGGAATCCAGCTCACTGGGGTCGTTACTGCGATAGATTCATGTCCGACAAGTTTCAGGTAATTGAATCTAGTTTATATGTTATTTTTATAAAAATATATAATAAAGGTTAATTTTATTAACGTTTGAATGTAATTATAAATAGAAAAAGTCGGGGATCAATAAACTTAATCGCAGCAACCAAAAGTGGTCGAGTTTTCATGGTCGACTGTCGTACTCCCAATATCGCGATAAGAAAGTAAGTATTTGTTAATAATTTATTCCATATAAATGTTAATTTGAGAATCGATTACACTATATTTATATACATTTAAACTATTATACAGTCTACCATAGGGACTCAACAGCTGATGTCTGTCATCGATAACTGGGGGGACGTGCATCGCCATTGGGATACTTGGATTAATCCCCAAGCTGAGCAGACTTTTGTAAGTATACTCGTAATGTTTAATTATATTTTTTTTATTTAAATCGCATTATGTATTTAATTATTTTTCTTATAATATTTGTAGCATCGGATGGAGGGAGAAAGAGAAACGCAGATCCAAATGCAGTCTGCTACTTCTGGATCCTCCGCGGCAGGAACAGTTAATGAGGTGGATATTGTGAAGCAGTTTCTGGGCACCCACAAAGGACACAAGATTGGAGTGGGTGGCACACTCCCACAAAAAGTTTATCGAAGGGATGCGTCGTCATCTGGCTCACGTTCGGCAACATCATCTACGTCACATTCTGACCTACACATAGAAGAATACTTACAACAGGCTTACCAACAAAACCTCCAGTTGTACGAGAGCGTCAGAATGATG